TCGCACGTGTGGGCGTCCGACACGCACAAACTCCTGACAAGGTGATAAATGCGGGCTCGCCGTTTTTCCGCACAGAGGTATAGAGGGTCGACATGCGAGATGGTAATTAGTGCCTTATAATACGAGTGACAGAAAATGACACGAGAACTAATTAGTGCTGGTTGAAATTGGATGAATTTGGGTTTGCTTTCAAACCAAGTGACGAAAACAAACAATCGTTGGAAACTTTCACGATTATCCCCCTCTCCTTCCCCGCTTGCCCCTGGCACGCCCCGGTTCAATCACCACCTGGTGCGCGGTTTAAGGACAGGTGGGCGTTTACCATTTTTATCGTGATGCGTGTTTTGTTTTTTATTTAGTTGTTTATTTTCATTTTCATTACGCGCGTTGTCCTCATCATTGTTGTCCTTCTTGCCGTCGTCACCGCCACCACCATTATCATGTCCTGTGCTGCCACCAGGACATACCCTACTTATTTAAAAAATATGAAATCAATGTCTTCTATCTGAGCATCACGGTGTACATACCTAAGGGGTTAGGCACGGTACGGGATGTAGGTACCTGCTTTTCGGTACGGGTACGGCTACGGGGTGTACGTACGTGTTTTGGGTACGGCTACGGTGCGGGTACGGTATGGGTACGGTACGGGTACGATACGTGGGTATGCTCCGTAGTTGCGTCGTACCGGAACGGAAGAGCGCGCCCATGCACCGTACCAGTTTTCAGAAATGTGGCACTATTTCCAACATGTGATGCTAGTAGCAGGGACATACAGTACGTACTCCTCCAGGCGGGCCAACAACGCTGCGCAACAATTTTTCGCAAAACGACGTCCAATTTAGCCCAATCCTGTTTGTGAATAGCCCTGTAGTAACCGGGGGCTGAGCACACCCTTGTAGCACCCCACCTGCAGTGAGAAACCTGTCGTCATTAACAGTTTTTGACTGTGTGGAGTGGAAAGCCTTGTGGCAAGCATTCCTGTCGCATGGTACTTCCAAACCTTTGGCTTAAATTATGGACCAAAAAATGTTTTCTTGGAAAGACAAATGGGTCAAATTTGGGCGCACCCTTTGTCGACAAATCAAAACTGAGAATCCAAATGGTTCGGGTTGCGGAAAGTGTGTTGTCAACGACCTGCGTGGCAGTGAGAGGATGCTTGTCCAGGCGCCGAAGCGATCTGAACCCATATTGCCCTTCGGGCTGGTGTAGCTCTAATATGCTTTCAACACGGCTCAGTACCAAATAAATTACGCTAATAATTTAAAACAGTTTCAGGCTAGCTATCGGACTCTATCGGGCGAAAATCCGTCGTGACAACTGCCTTTCTCTTTCTCGCAAACATGGTGACAAAAAACTTTGTGCCAAAAAATTCAATGATCGCCATGAAACAGGATGTCATTGAAATGGCGCAACAAAGATGCAGCTAAGGAGCGGGGAACGTTAGTGGAACAACTTGGCGACCAAACCAGTCTCATCTGCATTTTTGCTCCGTTTGAGCCGCTTGATTGCTGTTTTTAGTTCCCCTATTGTCCAAGGATGTTCCGTCAGACACGCAGGTCGCGATGACATCCCACCGAAAAGCGGCGCCAATTCAAGGGCAAAATCATTTAAAGGGGGTCCTTCCGCAGAATGTTTGCCGGTGGACCATCGTGGTAGTGTTTTGCAATGCCGCCATGTTTCGGAACCCATGATCCGCTTGCGGACCCTTGTACGCTTCCATTGTTTTTACTTCGCTCCGATGCACCCGTCGGATACTAAAAGTAAACATTTTCCGTTCAAATTTGTCAACACATTGTCGCCTCAATCAAATTGCGCAAGGACCTCAACTTGTCGGATGGTTTGAATTTGGTTCGGTCATGGGGAAAGGGTTCAAGTCTATTGCTGTGGTGTTGCCGCTTCCATGCTGATGGGCAGCTTTGGTCATCGTCCAGGTTCCAGAGGCATGTCTGTGCAACATGTCTGCCCTCCTTGTGGATGCATGGTTGCCCGGCCTCTAGGAACAATTTGTTTCAAAGGCTACGCCAAAATTTGATACCTTCCTGGCGGTAGCTTGCCATGGTTCACAATGGTTCACAATGGTAACTCAACGTGCACTGTTTCCTCACCTGTCACGAAAGATTTGTTTCCACATTTTCAATTTGGACCTTCCCCTAGGTCTGGCAACAGTTCCCCTGCGCCATGTTCGCGCGGGTGCCCAATTTACGTGTGTGGCACAAATTGGTTCGTGAAACGGAAGGGTGGGGTTTTGGGGCGGTGGCGATATGGAGTGGGCTACATGTAGATATTTAAATAAATAAATAAATGAACTGTATAAGTATATATATATATAAAATATTTCTCAATGTGGAAAGTGTGCATGTAGGTGTTTGCGGAGTTGCAACTCCCGGGTTGCAGATCCCAAAGCAATGGGTAGGTCACTGTAGCTCCACGGCCCAGGTGGTTTCATTTTGTGTTTCGAAACGGTGTTCGCAGGTTATATATTCGGGTGGTTGCTTCAATAGTACAACCCAGGATTGATGGGAAAATTAGAGGCAACCAAGAGCTTTGGATAGACCTTACCCATTTTTGCTGAATAAAATATTTTTTTCCAAGCAGAGCCGTGGAGCTGCTGACTTGAAGACCGTAGCCAATCTGAATTGGTTCGGGCGGGCGAAAGTAAGCAAAAAAGGGCAATTCAAAAAAACAAGTCAGAGGAAAGACAGCTACAAAGGCAAAAAGGCTAAAAAGGGAGTATGCAGTATGCAGTAGAACAGCGTAAACTACAAGGGGATGGGGGAAAGATATCAGAAAATTGTGAGTAGAGAGAGCCAAGTAAACAATTGAGCGAAAATATAGGGTAAAAAAGGTCTGTGACTCAGCTGTACGGGAAAAAAATACAGAACCGATTAGACTGCAGTAGGTAGCTTGCAATAGAACACGATAAGGTTTACTAGGCTATCCAGCGGGATTGCACAACTCAGTAAACCATAGAGCGCAGTGGAACACAGTAGGACTGTGGACGTTTACCTCATGTCCTTGTACGACCTTAGTTTCGAGCTCGAGCGGGCGCAAAACAATCAGAGAAATTACAATCGACTACGACGGAACACACAAAAAATAACAAACCGCAACTCAACACAGCGGTAAACAATGAACTGGAATGCAATATTGTGGACGGAACGCAGAGGCGCGAAACGGAACACAGCAGGGCACAATAAAATAGAACACAATGGAGCAAAAAAACAACGCAGTAGGGAACAGACAAAAGAGCATAATTATTGGAATGCAGAGCGGGGTAGGGCACAGTGGTAAATAATGGAATACAAAGCCGGGTAAAGTAGCGCAAAATAGTCGACAAGAGAAACAAGTGAGACAAGAGGGAGAGGAATCGAACCCAATCAGATCGAATTGCGTGGAACAAAGTGCAACGCATGTAGATTCCAAGAATGTACAAGAAGGAAAAAACCGTTTTCACAGCTTGCACGTTCGGGAGCAAACCTCGCATGAAAATTTTGGTTTCACATCCTTGTGCAAATCGCATGTTCCAGAACCAGCAAATGCGTTTTGCAAGACAAACAAGTCGCCCCCGAATCACTCAACTGTCTCACGTCATGCTGGGATCGTCGGTAGTTTCTTTTGCGACGTGTTTTTTCGCAAGCAGGTATTTACATCAGATTAAATTTGATTTTGCAAACTGATGCTTGCAGATGGCCGCGAATGTTGCTCCGAGACGTGCACGTAGTTCATCTCTTGTTTGCACATTTGTGTTTGCAGGGCGAATTGCCCAGCGAATTAATAATGGAGTAGCGTCAGTGGCACCTTGGGGGTGGCATGGCACTCGTCTAAATTACTATATTTCGTTTTGTTGCCGTGTCGCCCCTGGGCCTATGGAGAAAGCTGCAAAACCTCCTTCAATTAAGAGGTTTCAGAAGACGTTATATTGTTGTTTTGCGTTCTAGACGCGGCGCTTCGTAACATCCGGACGTGTTTCACGGCGTTTGACAAACGCAACAATATCTTCCCTCTAATATTAATCCCCGCCCCCCTTGATAATAAATAACCAGAGGAATTTTTAATATTATTTAACGTGTATTTCTATTAGGGTACGAAACTGCCCCTAATACTGGAGTAGTTCAGTTGTTGTTGTTGTTGTCGTTGTTGTTGTTGTTGCTAATCATTTTTCATTATTTTTTATTGCCAGACATTTGCATTCAGTAGCAATCATGAGCATGTGGCATTTACCTTGAGGAAATTAGAGCGTTTCACTTCGTGAGGTACAGGCGCATTTTGGTTTTCAGAAAAACTGCGCATGGCAGCGGAGCTCTGAGAGCTCAAGGGTTGTCCAACCATACGACGGTGGACTTTAACGAGGCCCTTGAGATCTTTGCAACAACGATCCAGGAGACCGAGAAGAACCCTTGCTTTGCATCCATCACTAGACCTTCGACCTGAACGAGGTGAACATGAGCGCTTGAGATCCGAATCTGGCTGCAGGATCTCCCCAAGGATCCTATGCCTGATGCTCCTGCTGGACTTCCCCAACGACAGCTTCAAGGAGTTCAAGCTGAAATGGCAGAACTCATGCGAATGGTGGCAACAGCTGCGTGGGTTGCAGCTGAGGCGGCAAAGGCTGCCATTGGTGCCTCACAGGGAAGTGCACCAGATAGAAAGAAGGAACTCGACAAACTCATTCCTAACCTGCGGTGTTTGCTCCAGGAGACCGAGAACAAGAAGTGGCGCAATGGAGAGATTGGTACTGGAGTCTGAAACAGTACCTGACGGTCAGCGACAACAAGTTCGAGGATGACATCGGCTATGTGGAAAGAAACAGTGCGACTGAGGTCGACATAGACGTGCTGGAGGATTAGGATAGAGATAGAGGTCGATTCTTTTATAGCCTGCTGAGCTCACTCTTGCAAGGACGTCTTCTCAGTCTTGTGAGAAATGTGGATAGATCTAATGGACTTGAAACTCTGAGGCAATTGTCGGAGAATTGCCAACCTCGTGCAAGAAACCGCACGATGTCGATGTTGCAGAGCATCATGTCCTACCCCAACTTCGTGATGAAGAACTCCATCATGTCGCAGTTGGTGAGACTTGAAGAGCACTTCGTCCAGTTTGAGAAAATGGGTGGAAAACTGACTGATGAGATGAAGTCAGCTGTGGTGCTCAAATGTGTGAGCGGGCCCCTGAAAATCCACTTGAACCCACTTGAATCTCAGTCTCAACGAGTCCAGCACCTATGCACAAATTCGATAGGTCATCAAGGCCTATAACACAGCCACTACAAAGTGGACAGATAGCGTGAGCAGCTCTCCGTACTCACCTCAAACTGCTGCAGATCCCACTGGTTTGGCGCCTATGGGGATTGACAGAGTTAAGAGAGGCAAAACTGCTGGGAAAGGAAAAGTTAAAAACAAAGAGGGAAAAGGGAAGGTGAAAGGCAAAGAGCAGAAGGGCACGGGCAAAACTTATGGTAAGCAAAACCAATGGAACTCTACGTCAACAACTTCGTGGAGCACAACTTCGAAAAGTGGAAAAGGTGGAGATCAGAACGACAAGGGCAAAGGCAAGAGCAAGTCAAAAGATGGTGTGACCTGCTTTAATTGCGGTAGAATTGGGCATATGGCCAAAGACGGTTGGCGAGTGCGACAAGTTGGAAACCCTGAGGCTTCAAGCAATGTTTTGTTTTCAGTGACTGGGCAGGAGAGTGTTGGCCCATCAGTTTCACAGGCAGCCACAGCAGTCAAGCGAGTGGCATTTTCAGCTGGAGAACATGATCCAGTGGTTTTCGACATGAGATCAAGTTCGACTTCAAGCTGGTGTCATTGCAGGATGGTGGAATTCTTCTACATTGACAGTGAGGAGTGCAAACCTATGTCAATCAGGAGCACTACATTTGGTGGTGAGACCAGCGAACGTTATGAACTCGACACCAACGAGCGTTATGAGCTCGACACCATTGAGGTTGACATCATCATTGACTCTGGGGCTGATGCACCGATCTTTCCATCGAGCATGATCCACTGCGGAAGGCAATGTGATGGTCAGCAAGTGGCATTGCAAGATGCTCAAGGCAGGGCAATTCCACTACTTGGACAGCGATCGGTCGCAGTAGTCTTGGAGGACAAGAATGGAGTGGAGATAGAAGTGAGAGACAATGTGGTCTTTTCGGATGAGATCAGCCAGCCCATTTTGAGCTTTGGAAGGCTGATGAATGCAGGATGGAGCATGTGTGCTCAAACCAGAAGTCTTCGCAATGGAGCCTACGAGATTTGTTGGACTTCCACATCTTCAAAACCATCGGTCAAGAATGTGCAGAGTCGTTCTCAGCCACTCCACCGTGTAGTCAATGCCAGAGATGAAGGGGAGATCCTGGTACTTGTCGCTCAGGTCAACTCCCAACCCAGCGTGTTCCATCTCGATGCCATCCAAAGGCATTGTCCACGTAGGCTTGCAATCCTGGAGTGAGGTCTGCCTTCAAAGCTCGAATCGCTTGAGGCTGCCCTCCAATCGTTCGAACATGTCCTCGAACGATCAAGCTGCTGTTCTGGAAGCTATGGGCTTTGGTGTCGAACCAGGTGAAGAACGAGCTATGCTGGAAGCTCTTGAAGGAGAAATCCAGCCAATGCTCGACACCCCCGAGGATGTGCAGTTGGAACAACAGGAGCTGGAGCTACCTCCTGACGTTCCAGCAGGTAATGGAGAAGTTCCAAGAGTTGGAGATGCAGAACAACTTCAACTACAAGTTCCACAAGAAGGAGAAATCGTGGTTGGAGAAGTGCTGCCACATCAGATCGAGGTTGATGGCAACGTGCTGACTGTAGCTAGCAGTTTGGCAACTTTGAGGGCAGCATATGGCTTCTATGGTGTGAGCCGATCAGGGAGCAAAGCGACATGCTACAGGAGGTTGTGTCAGCACCAGAAGACACTTGAGCTGCTTTCCCGCACAGGTAGCAATTGCCCAGACTCAAGGAGTTGTTGAGAGGCATCCCAATGCTCAAACTTTGGTGAAGCCTCCAGACCCGAAACAACAGGAGTTGCACGAGCTGACCCATACCCCTTACGAGCCCTGGTGCACAGCATGTTTGAAACATCGAGCACGACCTGATCCACATCGACGAACTGGAGAAGCTCACAACACAAGCATCCCCATCATCTCTATGGACTTCTGTATGACGAAGAAGAGGGATGGCTTGGACCCACAACCAGAGAGAGCACCTGACGACAAAGGAGCTCTTTGGCTGGTGTTGACATGTAGCCAGACTGGCTATCTTGGAGTGGTTCCAATCCAAGGCAAAGGTCAGATCAAGTACATGACCCACGAAGTGCTGAGCTTTGTGCAGAGCCTTGGGTATGCCTGGAAGTTGGGTTTTCTACGGCGACCATGAGCCGACCATCAGACAAATTTTGAAAACTATCATCACTTCGAGGCATGCGCTTCGATTGAAGACCCGAATCTTCACTACCAAGGTGAAAGATTCAGCTGGGAACTCATTGGCTGAGAACAGCATCCAGCGCATCAGGCAGCTTGCTTGTACTTTGGTGGAGGATGTGGCTCAGAAAACAGGCCTGAGTTACCCTTGTGAACACCCACTATGGTCTTGGGCTGGTAGACATGCAGCTTGGTGCCTCAATCGTTACCAAGTTGGCAGATCCCTCACAGCCCACGAGGTGACTCAAGGCAAAAGATATGATGGAAAAGTTGCACGATTTGGTGAACCGGTCTATGGGTATTGCATGGGCAAAACCGAGAACCAGGATGCATGGATCATTGGAGATGGAGTTGATGTCATGCTGAGTCGCAGCATTCGAAGGGTAGATCGCCCTTGGACCAACTTCCTTGCCTACTATAGTGGCTTGCAAACCCACAGCTTCGTGTACCAGACCAGCTTTGGTGGCAGAATCGTTCCGACGAAGCGCAAGATCATCCCGCAGAAACAAGATGGCCGATTGCTTCCCAAACTGAGCGAGGTAGAGAGACGCTTTGCTGACGAAGAGGCCGATGCAGTTTTGGCCTATGCTCGTTCCAGACAGGGACGATTGGAAGCTCAACAAGAAGTTCAACAAGCACTTGCAGAACTTCCTGATCAAGCACCCCCAGGATCGGGAGTCATTGTGGAGGAGATTGCAGTAGCTCCACAACATGGACAAGAACTACCAACAACATCTTCAGACATCCCAGCCAGCGAATGCAGATATTTTGGCAAGACCTTCTTCACCACGAGCGTCTTCAGCAAGACCAACAGAAGTTGGAGTTGCAGCATCAACTGAGGAGGAGCCTTCAGCAAAAAGGATGAAGCCAAGTGAAAGCTCTTTGAGAAGAATCGAGATGGTCGAGAGGCGATTGGTGGAGGTGAAGGTTGCCAATGAGACTTACTACCACTTGGACAATGTCATCGATGTTGACTTTGTGAACGCTTGGGAGTCTGAAGATGTGGAGATGATTGAAGAGAAGGCCAAGGATGTAAATGACATCGAAGCTTTCTGGTCTGACGATCCATTGACGAGATCACCGCCTGAGCCACTACCTGAGGTAGATCGCCTGGCTGATGAGATCGAAGTCAACAGATTGCAGGAGATGGGTGTCATCGAGAAGCTTGCCCTGAAGGACTACGAGTTGGAACTTCTTACAACTCGAATGGTCTATGACTGGCGCATCAAGGATTGGAAAGATCCCAAAACAGGTTCAATTCGGAGAAGGTGGATGCGCAGGGCAAGACTGGTTGCACGTGAATATGCAAACCACCGACGAGATGATGTGCACTCTCCAGCATCTGGCAGTCAAGTGTTGAGGCTGTTACCAGCCATCTACCTGATGCTCACTGCGGTGGACGGCATTAGATCCAGATTGGTTCTTTGGACATCAAGGACGCTTTCTTGATGGCTGATCAAGAAGAACCTCTACAGGTCACTACAAAGGCTGGAAAATTCAAGGTGAAGAAGAACCTCCCTGGTCAAAGAAAGGCAGCGAGATCGTGGTATGAGTTCATTGCCAACTACTTGGAAAAGAAGGGCGTGACTTTCTGCACTGAGAACCCATGTCTTGGACGACGAGGAGGTGGACTTTTTCTACTTCTACATGTGGATGACATGATGTTTTGTGGAACGAAGTCGGAAGTGGAGAAACTTATCCAGGAGCTGAAATCCGAGCTCAACATCTCCTACAAGATTGCACGGCATGAACGAGATCAGTTCGAGTTCCTGAAGAGAAAGTAGGTGCTGAGAGGATGGCATTGACATCCTACCAGGAGGATATGCTGAGACCATGATCGAAGCCTTTGAGAAACGCTATGGTCCGGTGAAACTTCAACAAGTTCCTTGCGGAGATGACGCACAGGAAATCTCAACGTCTGGACCATTGTTAATGGAAAAGGCCAAGTTGTATCGATCACTGGTTGGATCTGGCATTTACCTGTCCCAAGAGCGCATTGAGATTGGGTTCATCATCAAGCAGCTGGCAAGTGGTATGAGCAATCCATCGAGAGGTCATTTGCAGGTGATGAGAAAGCTAATCGGGTACCTCAAGAACACTCGTGGTCACTACAACCGTCTGAAAGCTCCCAGTCATGGACAAGGAGTTCATCACCACTATGATTCGAAATGGATCTTGGAGACCTTCACCGACTCCGATTGGTGGGGAGATCGAAAAACAAGGAGAAACACGAGCAGTGCAGTTCATTGCTTGAATGGCATCGTGGTCTACCACAGCAGCCGAGGACAGCGTGTTGGTGAGCCTTTCAAGTGCCGAAGCTGAGCTTCATGGACTTGTTGGAGGAGCAGCTGATGGCATTGCGCCGAGGATCTACTTGCAGTTTCTGTTGGATGAGGGGGAGATTCAACATGTGTGCCTCATCGACAATTCAGCGACCAAGCAGATCTCCAACAAACGTGGCACAGGGAAGCTGAGACATGTTTCAGGAAAACTACTTTGGATCCAGGACCAAGTCAGCATGAAGGTTTTGGAGGTGAAGCAGGTCAGCACTTTGCTGAACATCGGAGACGTTGGGATGAAACCATTAGGCAAAGGACGTCTCTATGCTCTCATGTGCTAGTGCAATGTCTTTACAAAAGAAAGAGTTCCAGTTGGAGAAGCAGAAACTGCAAAAGCCAAAGCGACCCACTACAATAAGACGAGCGTGGTGAGGATTTCAAAACTGATTCAACGAGTGGTTTTGATTGGTGGCCTTGAGCAGGCTAGCGGTGAGTTGGTCCCATTTCGCATGGACCTTGAGACTGTGGAGGCCTACAAGGAGCGAAGTTGGACATTCATCTACATCACTGTCATGCTCATCTTCTTTGTGGTAATTGCAGTTTTCTACTACTTGCACTAGATCATTCGAGATCTACGTGGACAGCTTGCACACCTTCGAGCAGAGCTTCGGGACAACAAGGTCTTCAGGAAAATGAGATACAGATGCATCACATGCACATCACTGCGATGAATGTGGCAATCATTCGCATGGGTGGCTATGTGAACATCAATGATCCCATCACAGAGCTGGATTGGGACAACTGGCACTATGTGGAGCGCAACAACAAGACTGATGACTTCAGAAAGTGACGTCGTGATCTTGAGGAGTTGCGCAAGTATGTGCACACGAGGAGGAGGAGGAGACAAAACACTCCACGACATGGCTCACGGTCTCGAGATGATGACGAGACTGGGGAGCCACCACAACGACCTGAAAAACTTGGAGAGGAAAAATGGCCTGAGAACGTCAGGGAAGAGAGACGTGACACTCTTCCAGAAGCCTTTGAAGGTGAACCAAAGCAAGCTGGAGGAGAAACAGAAGAGATCGATGGAGAACATGCAGAAGGAGAAGAATCTGAGAGCGAGTTGGAAAGATCGCAGTCTTTCCATAGTGGCACAAACGACACAATCGCGAGCCAATTCATGACAGAGGAGTACTTAGAGTGGCCCGCTATAGATTGGACAAGCTCTCGTGATCGAGCACAGCTGAGTGCCTACATGAAGATCTATGAATATGGAAAACGCCAGGCAAAAACCATTGGCGACGGCTACAATAGGTTGGGCGAATGGTGTGCGCAACAGTGCGACATCCATAGAGTGTATGCACGAGTTGGATCCTTAAGCTTGGACATCCAACATGTCTTTTGAATTTAGGTTACATTCTGATCAATGCTCACAATGTAAAGGAGGAGTGCCAAACATTTGCATTCAGTAGCAAATCATGAACATGTGGCATGTACCTTGAGGAAATTAGAGCGTTTCACTTCGTGAACTACAGGCCGCATTTTGGCTTTCAGAAAAGCTGCGCAATTATTAATATAATTAATTATTATCAGTATTATTTTTTTTTCAACATCGACCAAAATATTTTTAAGATGTACTATTTGCAAATATGGCGGATATTTGGAGTTCGAGGGTTTCCTTGATATTGCAGTAAATTGCAAGTAAAACATTCATTTTTCCAGAATTTCCAAATCGACTGAATTCATTTTCAAAATCTAATTTAAATATGGCCAAAAATAAAATTTCGAAGCTTCTTCTTTTTTTTTCGCCCGTCCGAGTCCTCTCGATCCTATAAGGGCATGGGGGGTACAGGAGCCACAGATGCTGCAAGACTGTACACATGCATTTTCCAGGAATGACCATTCAGGCCCCATGGCACCTGGAAATAATTGTTGGCAAATGATTCGAAATTATCATCCCATCATTTTGATGGGTGACCTTGCCTACGTTTGGGTTCATTGGAAGAAGTTTGTTGCCACTCACTGGTTGGATTCCATTGGGTTGTTGCTGCAGCCCACGAGTTGCGGAGGTGGAATATTTTCGTTGCAACACGAGAGTGCTTTTTGAATACCTGGCATGACCATGGCTTGCACTTATGGGTTGCCGTTGCAAAAGACATTCTTCGGTTCATTTGGGACATTGTGTCCGACCAATCTTCATCCGGTAGCCCTACCCAGCCGACAATCAATCGAAACATTTTCCGTTGTACTCCGTCCAGCGATTGGTGCTCCAACTTCGTTAGTGGCAGGGTAGCCAACCCAGAGAGGACTTTAGGAGAAGTGGCAGCATCAAAAAACTTCAGCCGCAAGAAGGCTCCTATATAAGTATGATGATTATATTTTTTTTTCAAAAAAATGATTAAAACATGGATCCTAACAAAAAAACACCCCGGTGTCGATCATTTTTTATTATTAGGGGGTGGAATCTCAAATGGGACTTTCATTAATTTTAAAATCATTTTTAAGGGGATCAATCAAAACTCAAATTGGCCAACTTAAAATGGAAACTCCCTTTATGTATTTGGGTACGTTTAAGAATAGAGGGAAGGGACCCTGTTTGACAATAGGCTTTCAGAAGATGACTTGCATCTTTCGTGGCAGGTGCGGCACTTTAGAATGTCCATCTTCATTTTGCGTGGCAGGTGCAGCACTTGACGTGTCGTGTTGCATGTTTTACACGAATCGCATCGGCAGGGCCATGTCAAGTGGTGACAAGGTGCAAATTGCATGGCAGGCGAGGCGTGGGACATCGTGAGAGTGTCCTTTGGCGTGGCAGGCGCAGCATTTGGTGCAGATCCGTTGTGTGGGGATTGTTTTTTTCCGTGGCAGGCGCAGTATTTGGGACACCTTCGTGTTTGCAGTTGCAAGATTGGCACGCCTGCGCGGGGTGCAATGTTGCTGTCATCTTTCGTGCCAGTTTACGTGGCGGGCGCTTCTGGTGATGGTGCAACCCGCCACACTTTACACTGCACAGTTGACACTCCACACCCCCAATTCGCACTCCACACTTTTCACTTTTCACTTGACATTCCACACTTTACACTTTATACTCTGCACTTTACACTTCGCATTCCACATTTTAGACTCCGCACTCCGCACTTCAACCTCCAAACTCCACAATTCACACCTCACACTCTACATGTCACTCTCCACACTTCACACTTCACACTTTACACTCCCCACTTTTTTACACTCCCCAATCCCCACTCCTCTACATTCCGGACTCCGCACGTCACACTCTATGCAGTACATTCCCCACTCAACACTCCATTCTTTATACTCTACACTTCGCACTCCACATTCAGCACTCCACCCCATTCCACACTCCACGGTCTACACTGGTACCTTGACAGGGGAAGAATGTACAAAACTGTTGAAATTATTGTTTTGCAATAGTGTTTTGTGTGACTGCAATGAATTCGTGATGCCATGTGCTGGCAGGATTCTTGGCATCATAGGCTCGCAATTTTCGCTCTGGTTTGGATTGTTTTGGTATACAAAAAAAGAAGGCACGGAATCCGGAATCCATTGTTACATGACTTGAATAGCAGACAATCAAGGTTCAGGATGGGAAGCACGCTGCCGTGTACAGAATTGGAACGCATGCATACAGGCAATGTGGACAAGTGGTTTGGGTGGTGGAAAAGCTCCAAGATGATTAATGATTAATGTTTGGAACGACAAATTTGCAGTGCGGTTCTTTCCTGTTTGAAGCCGTGCAAGGCTTTCAAAGTATGTAGGCTATCACTTTGTGGGTTCCCGCTGACCCGCCTCTCCGCTGTTTGGCAAGTTTAGGCATGGCTGATTCAAGGTTTCTTGCCGATTTGAACGTGGCGTTTCTGCAACATGAACTTGCTCATGCAAAACATTCGTTGGCAGCGATTCAAGAAAAACATGAAGCAGCATGCTCCCAAGTCATGCAGCATGATGAGAACTTCAAGATAGAAGAGGAGGAGTGGATCGAAAACCAGCTGCGCCGGCAACGCGAACATGAAGCTGCTTGCGTTTTGCAAAATTGGTGGCTGCGAGTGGGAATGCGGAAATTGCATTTGGTGCCATTATTGGAGGTTTTAGAACAGCAGCTGCTACTGAATGCTCGATATCGGCTCGACCAGACTCTGTTGGATTTGAGACACGCAGTCCATGATTTGCACATTGAGGAGGCTGACCGCCTCCAAGCTTGTTTGAGGGTACAAAGATGGTGGCGGAAAGTGCTAGCAAAGCGAGTGATGAAAGTGATAGCTTTCTATGGGACAGTTAGGAAGGTCAAGCGCCGTGTCGAGGATGCGGCGTCGAAGATACAAGCTTTGTACCGAGGCGTGTGTGCACGGCGGCAAGCACAGGCAATCCGAGAGTCCAGACAAGCAGCTGAGGAGGAAGCCGAACGTCGAATGGAACAAATGAAGATGCACGCCATTCTCAGCATTCAAAACAGTTACCGGAAGAGTGTGGCAGTGAAGCAAGTTCAATTGCTTCGGGCACAGATGTTTGCCGCAATGATGTCACAGGGAGGGGCAGACGCCCACCTGAGCAGCAAATTACAATCCAACTCGACTCGGCCCCTATGGTTCAAAGCCAAAGGCAAAGCTGAAAGCAAAGCAGAGGCACGAAAAAAACGTTGACTTAGATAAATTAGACATATGTGCAGGCACTTGAATGTTTTAAAATTTCCTTCCCACACGTTTCACCTGGAAAGACATTAGCATGGTGTTGAAAATATGTTCTAGCAGCTGTCTCACCTGAAGCCGTTTCACAATCGCGAGTGTGAGGTGGACAATCTGATTGCCAATGGTTTGCGAACATCATGCTTTCATTTCTTAAAACATTTTGGTAAACATTTCATTTGCTTCATGCTCCACCTACACTTCTGCACTTTAACTCATTTGTCAGCAAGAGATTGGCACTTGCAAGCGGGTGCAAGGAAATTGACAGCTCCGGACCTGGTCAGGGAGTTGGCATTGCCGGCATTGCACTTGATTGCTCCTTGGGCTTGCCTCGGCGGTTCCTATGATACCTCTTGAAGCGCTCAAGCCCTCGAAGCTGTCTGAGCTTTCATTGAAATGTAGATGTGTCCTCATTATACTTCAAGGCCAATGTCCCTCGGCATGGGCCTGGAGGGTTTGACATCTTTCTGTGGCTACATTTTGTGCATTCCCGGACTGATTTTGAGTAGTCACTCAGAGACTCAGGCATCCATGCTGGAGGCGCTTTTGAGACTGAGTTTTGTGCATAAAACATCATAAAACATGTTGGGACCATTTGGCACCTAAGCAATCGGCACAGCTCCGCCAGGATGTTGGGATTGTTGTCAGCCCTGGTTACCACTTCGGGGCTGATACACCGAGAAAGTCACGAGCAGACGCGGACTCTTCGCGGGCGATACAGGGATGTGGTTGGGATCATCCTCGGATAAAACGAAACCTGACTGAAAATCTTTGAAACGCTCTGGACCAACCTTGGAAGGACCCTCAGTCTTGCAGACACTTGGCTTGATTCAGTGTGACATTATCAATCCCTGAAGCCTCAATCAGCATTTGATTGTCGGTGGTAGTGTTCACCGCTTCAAACTAGGTCGGCAATTCATCTGGAACTGGTCGGTGGAATTTCTGTGCGAACCAATGGGAGGATTCCGTGGACAGATACCATTTCCGAATCTTCCTCTCTGCATGTAGGAGAGATTCGACCATGGCCCATGGCTGTCAAAATTTCATGCCACCCATGGCTCTTGGCAGGAGTGCAGGTGCAACGGCAAGATTAGGCGTGTGCAGCCAGAGAGTCCACTTCCGGATGTGGGAACAATCCTTGTCTTGGAAACTGAAGAAAACTGAAAGATGCTGAAACTTCTTGGAATCGCTGTAGCTTTCAAATGCGGTCGCGCCGCAGGTGGGGCCATGGTCAGACCTGGAAGGTAATTGATCCGCCATCCCACATGACCGCCTTCACAGTCAAGTCCTTCCCTCGCAGATAATCAAGTCAGTGGATGTCAGCGGCATTTGTTGAAGTAAGTGCAGCAAAAAATTGAAAGATATTGAAAGAGAGGATTGGAAACAAGCATCAATCAGAATTTTGCATGAGCCTTGCTGGCATGCAAATATAAATATAATATAAATATAAACAGAAATATATATAAATATAAATATAGATATAGACATAAATATAGACATACATAAATATAAATATATATACGCATATATTTAATTGTATATACATATGCATATGAATATACATATGCATTGCATGCTCTTGCACGAATATAAAGGATTGGCGTCCTCCCGGACTTCCACGTGGTGTTTGCAGAACTGTTTGCAAGACAAGATTCCAACAGCAGTCCTGTATGAGGTGCAGCATTGAGCACTTGCAGGATGTGCTGCCAGGTGACACCCGAAAACATTGCCAGCAGCTGGGCATCAAGTAAGCTAGTTTTCCCGGGGCATGCCCATCATACATTCTGCCTGTGTGAGCCTCACATTTGAAATGCTGTTCTCCCCAAGGTGCCAAGGGCAAGTGCTCAGCAAGAACTTTGACAGGCATTTTAGCATTTTCAGAATCTATCAGAGTTAAGATAGACACTACATACGACCAAACATTACGAAACAATGCATCGAAAGAGAGTGTGACGCTTTGTGTGACGCTTTGGAATGTTTTGGAACGTCTCGGGCCTTTTCTTTGAGACTTGAGTGCTTGTCCTGCGATAGTAGCACATTGACGAGCTTCGCTGAAGATGCTGCAATGACCAAGCTCCGCTACTGCATTAGCAGCATGGGCATTGCATGGCTTGGGTCAGATTTCGCATCGTGCTTGGAGCAACATGAGTTGTATCTCAGGCTTGCAGGAAAGGACTCGGAGTGGATCTTTTGCTCCAATCAATGGCAGGAATGCCAATGCAACAATCACGTGCGGTTGCTTGCCTGTATGATCCTGTATGTTGATTTTATAATTCCCATGGACTCCTGGACATTTTGCTCAAACGAAATAGTTCTGCGCCCGCCTTTCAAAATCCAAATGCTAAGGTGGGGAACGGCGAAGAGATGGAAATTGATCAGCCCCAAGAAGGTCGGTGCATTGTTCTCAGTGAAGTTTCTCGGACAGAATCCTTTGAAACAATTTTGAAGACAATGAGAAGATGTAAAAAATCTGTCTCCTGTCAACTGATAGCAGCGCGAAAACATAAAGACTTGCCAGACTTGCTGGGAAAGGGAACTAGGATCTGCTGCCCAAGGTGTGACGTCAATTCTTTGGGAGATCCTGTGCCGGGAGAAGATGGAAAGCACTGCCAATGCTTGGTGTCACATGGTAGACTCTTGACGGAATTTGAAGCCACATGTGACTTTTATTTGGTCTTCCGAATTGTTTCATAGTATCAGTATCATTTCATAGATGATTTGAGCATTTCCGTCAATGTACCCACGTTGTCGACTTCGAAGAATACTGAGGCTTATTTGAGAGGCAATTGAACCCGTTCAGAACTCAGCATGGGTAAATTCAGACGCAGACAAAACCAGGATTTGTAGAATTTTTAGACACAACGGTCACAACGGTCAGGATGCTGCTCGATGAGCGGACTGCCGATGGCTTCGGGGCAAAACTTGTTGCCTCCTGCGATCTTTTCGAGGCAGTGTAGGGTTATACAATTTCTGTTGGAATAGGTTGGAATATGTATATATGAATATGAGTGAATATGTTTAAATGCTTGTGCTGCCTCGTGGCTTACTCTTTCTCCTTTGGCTCAGTGCAGGCTGGCAAAAGTGCCGGTCCGGAGGACTCATGGGCTTGCAGTGTGCTGTAGAATATTGTGGAGATGTCATATGATACGATAGGATATGATATGATATTCGAAGTATTTAACATGTACGTGATGAGTACTGTAAGATTCTATGAGTCTATCTGTATCAGTGTATTGATATGTATTGATTTAAGATGGATTCAATGTTGTTCGATTCAGTCTGTTCAGTCTGTTCTTCCATTTTGGAAATCGTTATTTCTTCCATTTTGGAAATGTTTATTTCAATGTTCTTCTGAACATTCAGCAGTTTTGTTCTTTGTTTCTGCTTTGTTTCTGCGTTTACATTTGCTCAGGGCCAAGCACAATGGCAAGCAGCTGAACCCTTTTGCTCCAAGGCTTGGGAGGCGACTCGGGGCCCGGGGCAGCCCGGGGCTGCCTGGGGCAGTCCGGGGCAGCTGTGGATTCTTTCGATTTCACAGCTGGCCATTTCGAAACATGTGTGCACGGCTGTGGTGCATCTTTGAAAGATATGCGAAGTATTGGGAAGTATTGGGAAGTATTGAATCTATTTGAACCTATTTGAATCTATTTGAATCTCTATTTGAATCTCTATTTGAATCTCTATTTGAATCAATTTGAATCAATTTGAATCAATTTGAATCTATTTGAATCTATTTGAATCTATTTGAATCTATTTGAATCTCTATTTGAATCTCTATTTGAATCTCTATTTGAATCTCTATTTGAATCTCTATTTGAATCTCTATTTGAATCAATTTGAATCTATTTGAATCAATTTGAATCTATTTGAATCTATTTGAATCTATTTGAATCTATTTGAATCTATTTGAATCAATTTGAATCTATTTGAATCTATTTGAATCTCTATTTGAATCTCTATTTGAATCTCTATTTGAATCTCTATTTGAATCTCTATTTGAATCTCTATTTGAATCAATTTGAATCTATTTGAATCTATTTGAATCTATTTGAATCTATTTGAATCTATTTGAATCTCTATTTGAATCAATTTGAATCTATTTGAATCTATTTGAATCTATTTGAACCTATTTGAACCTATTTGAATCTCTATTTGAATCTCTATTTGAATCTCTATTTGAATCTCTATTTGAATCTCTGAATCAATATGAATCAATATGAATCAATTTGAATCTATTTGAATCTATTTGAACCTATTTGAATCTCTATTTGAATCTCTATTTGAATCTCTATTTGAATCTCTATTTGAATCTCTATTTGAATCTCTATTTGAATCTCTATTTGAATCTCTATTTGAATCAATTTGAATCAATTTGAATCAATTTGAATCAATTTGAATCAATTTGAATCTATTTGAATCTATTTGAATCTATTTGAATCTATTTGAATCTATTTGAATCTATTTGAATCTATTTGAATCTATTTGAATCTATTTGAATCTATTTGAATCTATTTGAATCTATTTGAATCTATTTGAATCTATTTGAATCTATTTGAATCAATTTGAATCAATTTGAATCAATTTGAATCAATTTGAATCTATTTGAATCTATTTGAATCTATTTGAATCTCTATTTGAATCTCTATTTGAATCTCTATTTGAATCTCTATTTGAATCTCTATTTGAATCTCTATTTGAATCTCTATTTGAATCTCTATTTGAATCTCTATTTGAATCTCTATTTGAATCTCTATTTGAATCTCTATTTGAATCTCTATTTGAATCTATTTGAATCTATTTGAATCTATTTGAATCTATTTGAACCTCTATTTGAATCTCTATTTGAATCTCTATTTGAATCTATTTGAATCTATTTGAATCTATTTGAATCTATTTGAATCTATTTGAATCTATTTGAATCTATTTGACTCAATTTGACTCAATTTGACTCAATTTGACTCAATTTGAATCTATTTGAATCTATTTGAATCTATTTGAATCTATTTGAATCTATTTGAATCTATTTGAATCTATTTGAATCTATTTGAATCTATTTGAATCTATGTGAACCTATGTGAACCTATTTGAATCTCTATTTGAATCTCTATTTGAATCTCTATTTGAATCTCTATTTGAATCTCTATTTGAATCTCTATTTGAATCTCTATTTGAATCTCTATTTGAATCTCTATTTGAATCTCTATTTGAATCTATTTGAATCTATTTGAATCTATTTGAATCTATTTGAATCTATTTGAATCTATTTGAATCTATTTGATCATTTGAATCATTGAAATCTATTGCATCTATGGAACCTATTTGAAATCTCTATTGGAATCTCTATTTGAATCTCCTATTTGAATCTCTATTTGAATCCTATTTGAATCAATTGAATCAATTTGAATATCTATTTGAATCTCCTATTGAATCAATTTGAATCTATTTGAATCAATTTGAATCTATTGTGAATCCAATTGAATCTCTATTTGAATCTCTATTTGAATCTCTATTTGAATCTCTATTTGAATCTCTATTTGAATCAATTTGAATCAATTTGAATCTATTTGAATCTATTTGAATCTATTTGAATCTATTTGAATCTCTATTTGAATCAATTTGAATCTATTTGAATCTATTTGAATCTATTTGAATCTATTTGAACCTATTTGAACCTATTTGAATCTCTATTTGAATCTCTATTTGAATCTCTATTTGAATCTCTATTTGAATCAATTTGAATCAATATGAATCAATATGAATCAATTTGAATCTATTTGAATCTATTTGAACCTATTTGAATCTCTATTTGAATCTCTATTTGAATCTCTATTTGAATCTCTATTTGAATCTCTATTTGAATCTCTATTTGAATCTCTATTTGAATCTCTATTTGAATCTCTATTTGAATCTCTATTTGAATCTCTATTTGAATCTCTATTTGAATCTCTATTTGAATCTATTTGAATCTATTTGAATCTATTTGAACCTCTATTTGAACCTCTATTTGAATCTCTATTTGAATCTCTATTTGAATCTATTTGAATCTATTTGAATCTATTTGAATCTATTTGAATCTATTTGAATCTATTTGAATCTATTTGACTCAATTTGACTCAATTTGACTCAATTTGACTCAATTTGACTCAATTTGAATCTATTTGAATCTATTTGAATCTATTTGAATCTATTTGAATCTATTTGAATCTATTTGAATCTATTTGAATCTATTTGAATCTATTTGAATCTATTTGAATCTATTTGACCTCAATGTTGAAATCTAATTTGAATCTATTTGAATCATTTGAATCTATTTGAATCTATTTGAATTATTGAATCTAATTTGAATCTATTTGAATCATTGAATCTATTGAATCTATTTGGAAAAAAAAAAAAAATTTTTTTTTTAATTTGAATCTATTTGAATCTATTTGAATCTATTTGAATCTATTTGAATCTATTTGAATCTATTTGAATCTATTTGAATCTATTTGAATCTATTTGAATCTATTTGAATGGGCTACATGTGGGCCCCAATTGGAGATGTCCAGTCGGTCCATATGCCTAGGACAAAGCTGAAAAAGACGCTTCACTTCACGCAGGTCCTCACAGGCTTTCTTTAGGCGTGGTTGACATGCAGGCATTTCCCTTCATTTTCTGAACGATACCTGTCCTGTGAAAAATCAGATGCTCTTATTCCTTCGAGGCTCACTCCAGAAGCTCATGGAAGCTCGCATTGATGCTCGCTTTGAGGAAAACTATCAACACCTTGTCGATAAGGACAGCTCCCACGAGCTATAGCAGATGCAAACTAAGTCACTGTTCAGCTGATTAGGTTGGAGGCAGTAATCACGGAAGCTTCACATGTCTATGTCTTTCACTTTGCCATAGCCCGACGAAAACCGGAGTGCTGAGAGCAGCAGCAGCAGCAGCAGCATTCCAAAGCCTATCAGAGACTTTACAAGCCCCGCTTTGGAAAAGCATATGGCAGGATGGATGGCTTGACAAAGCCTTCGTGAACTACTTTGCAGGAGCACCTGGAAGTGCCTTGGTTTGCTGAGGATGCCAAGCCAAGACATGCCAAGCAGTAAATGGATGCAGTAAAAGGACATCAAAGGCATGCTCCACTGAGCAATTCCAAGGCAAGCATGCAAACATGACCGAGCAGCTTATCCGCTGGGCACCAAGTTATTTTAGGTGGCCTTTTCCCACGCTATTAAGTGTGCTTCACTGAAAAGGCTCCGTCCACATGTTCTCGAAGAACCCGATCGTTGTGCTTCACTTGGGAAGCCGGGCTCCTGATTCATGGACGGCAAAGCGATTTCCTCGCTTGCAGGATGCTCAGGATGCCTAGCACAAAACGGTTCAGATTCCTTGCAGCAAGGGCCTGCCGTGTATGCCGTATAGGGCAGGTGAGGTCGCCAACCAGTCTCTAAGTACAAGATTAAGGCTCTTGTTGCATGCTGCACCAATGGGCCCGGATGCGCATCGAAGCTTCAACTTCAACAAATTGCGCTCTTTCTTGATTTCTCGGGAGCTGCCCTCAGCAGAGCTGGATCTTGACTCCTAGCCTCCTGTGTCGAGACGAACGCGTTCCGAGGCGCGTGTTGGAGTGGAATTGGACTCCGACCAGTTTGTTGGGCCTGGAGTGGACTATATGCTGCTGGCTTGCGATTCAGTGCAAGCAACTGCGTTCATTCTAGTATTTCTTATATTTCTTCCGATCGTGTCCGGCTTGGGGTCTTGTTTTTTTTTTGTCCGGCGTGGGGTCTTCATACCCGCATACACAGTAGCGTCAACCCGGGTAATAAATCCTATTTCATCAGTTATAGAGGGCACCCCCAAATAGTAATGATTTGCTATTGAAATTTGAAATTGTACCTCCCAAGTGCACTCGGGGGTTTATTGATCCAGGGTTGACGTTATAAAACATTGCTCTCTCTCTCTCTCTCTTTCTCTGTCTGCCTCTCTACTCTATATATGTAAATATATGCCTGTGACACTGCATGTGCATGATTTTACATACATGTAGTGTATCCATCTACCTATCTATGTATGTTCTGCGTAGTTTGGACATGGTCATGCTTCTGGGAAGGCTGTAGCCAAGGTTCCAAGTCAAGGTTGAAAACTTGTGTGTCGTTCCAAGCAAGTCAAGCCTCCGCGAAGACATGGAGAAGTTTATGGCATGGCATGTGGTTTGGCCCGAGATATTCCGAAATGGAGCTGGGAAATTCTGGTGATTTCAGGGGAAGAAGTCAATTTGGGGAAAGGGCGGTGTGAAGCTTTCAAAGCTTTCGGGTACAGTAATTTTCGATATAAGCTGTTATCTAAGCCTCGTTGATCCATTAGTATCCATTAGTAATGAAGTGGCGTTGCCCTTGGCACCTAAAGTATCACCTTCACAGCTAGCGGTCACAATTTGTCATTTGATTGACGAGTGGAAACTGATGAGAGTGCAGCTGCAGGTTTGAGATGACGCAGAAGGAGAGCTTCAAGTGATTTGTGCTTCAAGCTGTTGCTCCTCAGCCCTCTTAGTCTTAGTTGCACAAGACGTTCAGCATGACATTCAGCAAGACATTCAGCAAGACAATGCTCATTCTCTGTCTCTAGGAGATTACGGAAAACTACTCGATGCCTATCATGCCGGTGCACTTCTACAGCTTCACTCAGGCAATCTTGGCATGAAACAGCTGATCCTGCCAACTTTTTGTGTTTGACGCGCAAGACTCAAGAAAGAAAGATTAGAAGAGGCAGTCACGACGACAAACTTCAGCGAAATAATGAATCATCTGATGCAAAGCGACTTGAACTATGTCTCGTCATGTGTATCCACAAAGGTGCGACTACATTCTCAGTCAAGCACCTCTTGACACACTTGGAACCTTCGAACTTGGGACAGTGTTGTCCGCTTTACATCGCTTTACATTTTTCAGGCTGACACTCCCCACAATGTGTGGTGGCAACGTTTCTGTCCGGATCCCCCGGCCAGCTCCCAAGCGAACAGTTTATGAAAGGAAGATGACTTGTGGAACCTTTTTTTCGGATATGTTTTTTGAACACTTTTTTCTATTTTTTCTTGTCTGCAAAACTGAGATTTTGCCAGTTGCAGATTCTCGTCCAAGGCATGCAAACCCCATTCGATGCGGTGGAGCCATGCTCACCCCACTTGGAACCTTGCCAGCAGTAAGAGCGGAGCTTTGGCCACACTTGCCAGTTATTGAATTTGCAAGTCTTTCTTTTTGCAGCAGTTTCAGGGTCCAGATAGCCCAGCATCGGAGGACTTTTTGGTCTCTACCTTTCGTCGGTCGCTGGCTTCGACGTCACTTCAGGGATGAGTACCGGGGCTGCAAAGGGGCTGCACATGGCTCCACTATTTAGACGAAAGTGCTGTGTTGGCAGCACTTGGACACAATATGTTTGCACCACCCAAGGCTTCTACTTGCAACAACTGGCAATGGAGGATTGCATCTTGGGGAGCTTCCGGTTTCGGAAATTCCGGAAGACGAAGATTTGCTGAACGTCGCGACCTGGGAGGCTACTTGCTGTTGAAGTTAGGATTCTGCTTCTGTTGGTTTGTAGCACTGAACTGGAAGACAGACACAGACACACACTTGCTCAGAAACATCTTTGCGAATTCGGATGTGGAATGATGTGGAATGCATCTTACGTGCAAAAACACTCCAATTAAACCTGACAGGAGCCATTGAATGATCAGAAGTGAGAAACCTTGACAATGCAGTTAAACAACAACAGAACACACAGTATGACGTGTCCCCCAGCTGCGACTTGAATGCGCCCAGGAGCGACACTGCAGGTACAGAAGTTTGCGTCCAAACTTCTATCCAGTTGATTTCCATAGCTTCGTTGGCGTGACTAGGAAATCAACCGTCACGCCCCCTGCAATTGAAAAGGAGATTGGATAAACGCCTGGTAAAATATTCAAAACTGGTTCATTGTTATGGCAAAGAACCTGGTAAGAAAAAGCAATTCCGTCAATCAAGGTAGAAGTTTTACATCTCTTCAGATGTTCCACACACACGCCCCGCTGCCGCGAGGCTTTTTAAGGCCCCGACGAATGAGATGAAGGTGAAGATGAAGGAAAGATGACAATGAGATGACGATGAAAATGAGATGACAATTACTTAACCGGAACACAAGAGCGGGAACGCAAAAAGGAAAAGGAAAAAGAGAGAACACCAACACCAACACACCTGGCCCGAAACGGGCAAACCCTGAAAGGGCAAGGAAAAAGAAAAAGCGGACGACGGGCCAAAAAACCAACCAGAGGAGGGGGGGGGCGGACAGAAGCGCCTGACACAACCTACAAGGCGAGAGCCAAAGCCTACGTAGGAACGCGAAGGGCCCAAACCTGACCTAGAGAGGAAAGCGCGCATGAGATAGGGGACCAATGGGGAACTAGTTGATGAAATAAGATGCATCCACATTACGTGCATTTTTCGTGATAAGGCTCAAAAGGCCCTCGGCTTTCATGTCACAACCCTGTAGACGGCTTAAGTTGTCAACCCCGGAATTTCGTGCACATTTGAACCTCACCAACGACCATCAAAAGAAAGAAAATCCACACCTAAAGCATGTCCTGTTGCCTGATTTTTCATGAAAGAAAGGTGAAGCCAGGCACAGCGGCACGTTGTTCAACCAAACGACATTCGACAGGGTGAAAACCAAAAAATGGCCAGCTGTTCACTTTACTTAAACGAATTACCAGTAGTACCCGCCCGAGGCGGGGCGGAAGTTGCCTTAAAGATATATATATATATGTAAGACCTTTCTCATCTATAGAACTTGCATGCGCCGTGCGCCAGCCAAACCCGTGCGTGCGTGCACTCTGCGAAACTGGTGTCTTGTTTCACATGTCACATTTGAAGCTCCACTTCACACTTCACACTTGACAGTCTTCACACTCCACACTACACACTTCACACTGCACTCTTCACACTGCACTCTTCGCACTTCACACTCCACACTCTTCACACTTCACACTGCGCTCTTCGCACTCCACACTTCACACTTCACACTGCGCACTTCACAGTCCACACTTCACACTGCACTCTTCTCACTCGAAACGTCACACTTCACAGTCCACACTTCACACTCCACACTTCACACTGCACTCTTCTTGCCCCACACTTCACACCGCACCCTTCATCTCATCTGAGCTCTTCTCACCTTATCCCAGCTGAGCTCTTCTCATCTCATCTCTTCTCATATGTCATCTAAGCTTTCATGAATCACTTCCCAGTACTACTACAAAGGAACTTGCACGCGCAGTGCGCCAGCCAGGCCCGTGCGTGCGTGCTTTGTGCGAAGCTGTTGCAATGTTGTTGTCCAAGAACATGACCTGCGCGCGTCCCCGGTGCAATGCAACGTGAAGCAAGCACTTTCCTCACACATCACATTGCACCCTTCACACTTCACATCTGAGCTCTTTTCATCTGGTTGCATGTCTTCCCATATGTCAGCTACGTTCTTCTTGGCTATTTTCATGTCATGCGTTGGAGCTACTTTCTCATGCGTTGGAGCTACTTTCAACTTATCTCGGCGCTTCTGCACGTCAGCAAGGTTGAGCGTAACTCATGTCGATTCTTCTACATGCCAAAAGGCGTAGACAATAAAATATTTACAATATTGAGATCATTAATGCCAAGCGTTGATGCATTGCATCAAATCGCAACGGCAAGTGTAAACATGGCGTAGTTGTTACCTGCCAAGGAGATTCACGCAGTCCAAGGTCAACAGCTGCTTTTTTCTCTGCCCTACACTTGGTCGTCCTGGCACGAAAGGCTGGAGAGCCGCACACACGAGGTACCTTTGATCGCCGGCTGAAGCCACTTTACACGGAAAAACGCAAGGTTTCGTGCCCCGGCTTCCTCCCCAAAACAAAGCCCATGCAACATTCATGCAGCCATTCCAATGCGATCGGCCACCACAGCTTCAAGAAACGCATAGAACTACGCACACAGGAACAACCACTCGTTGCAAAACACATAGAAGGAACCACTTCGCGACAGAAACGACCCCAGCCGCACCCGTCGCACACACGAGGTACCTTTCATCGCCGGCTGAAGCCACTTTACACGGAAAAACACAAGGTTTGTGCCCCGGCTTCCTCCCCAAAACAAAGCCCAATGCAAACATTCATGCAGCCATTCCAATGCGATCTGCCACCACAGCTTTCCAAGAAACGCATAGAACTACGCACACAGGAACAACTACTCGTTGCAAAACACATAGAAGGAACCACTTCGCGACAGAAACGACCCCAGCCGCACCCGCCGCACACACGAGGTACCTTTCATCGCCGGCTGAAGCCACTTTACACGGAAAAACACAAGGTTTTGTGCCCCGGCTTCCTTCCCAAAACAAAGCCCATGCAACATTCATGCAGCCATTCCAATGCGATCTGCCACCACAGCTTCAAGAAACGCATAGAACTACGCACACAGGAACAACCACTCGTTGCAAAACACATAGAAGGAACCACTTCGCGACAGAAACGACCCCAGCCGCACCCGTCGCACATACGAGGTACCTTTCATCGCCGGCTGAAGCCACTTTACACGGAAAAACACAAGGTTTCGTGCCCCGGCTTCCTCCCCAAAACAAAGCCCATGCAACATTCATGCGGCCATTCCAATGCGATCTGCCACGACAGCTTCAAGAAACGCATAGAACTACGCACACAGGAACAACCATTGTTGCAAAACACATAGAAGGAACCAAACGACCCCAGCCGCACCCGCCGCACACACGAGGTACCTTTCATCGCCGGCTGCAGCCACTTTACACAGAAAAACACAAGGTTTCGTGCTCCGGCTTCCTCCCCACAACACACGGCATGCAACATTCATGCATCCATTCCAATGCGATCTGCAACCACAGCTTCAAGAAACGCATAGAACTACGCACACCGGAACAACCATTCTTGCAAAACACATAGAAGGAACCAAACGACCCCAGCCGCAACCGCCGCACAGACGAGGTACCTTTCATCGCCGGCTGCTGCCACTTTACACGGAAAAATACAAGGTTTCGTGCTCCGGCTTCCTCCCCACAACACACGGCATGCAACATTCATGCAGCCATTACAATGCAATCTGCAACCAGAGATTCAAGAACCGCATAGAACTACGCACACAGGAACAACCACTCGCTGCAAAACACATAGGAGGAACAATTCGCGACAGAAACGACCGCAGCCGCAACCGCCGCACAGACGAGGTACCTTTCAAACAAATTTCTTCACTCATCGCCGGCTTGAAAGCCACTTTACACAAACCGGAAAAACGCAGGTTTCGTGCCCCGGCTTCCTCCTCCCCCAAAAAAAGCCCATGGCACATTCATGCAGCCATTCCAATGCGATCTGCCACGACAGCTTCAAGAAACGCATAGAACTACGAACACAGGAACACCACTCCGTTGCAAAAAAAACCCATAGAAGGACCACTTCGCGACAGAGACGACCCCAGCCGCACCCGTCGCACACCCGCGGTACTTCAATCGGCCGCTGAAGCCAACTTGCCCCCGGCCCCCCTCCCTTTGCCCGCCCCACGGAAAAACACAAGGTTTCGTGCTCCAGCTTCCTCCCCAAAACATAGCCCATGCAACATTCATGCACCACTCCCCTTCATGGTTGCCAGTTCCCTTCCTCACCACTCCCCTTCATCATCACTTCCCTTCCTCTCCACTTCCCTTCGTCACCACTTCCCTTCCTCACCACTTCCCTTCGTCACCACTCCCCTTCTTCACCACTTCCCTTCGTCACGACTTCCCTTCTTCACCACTTCCCTTCCTCACCACTTCCCTTCGTCACCACTCCCCTTCATCATCACTTCCCTTCTTCACCACTTCCCTTCCTCACCACTTCCCTTCGTCACCACTCTCCTTTATCATCACTTCCCTTCTTCACCACTTCCCTTCGTCACCACTTCCCTTCTTCACCACTTCCCTTCCTCACCACTTCCCTTCGTCATCACTCCCCTTCATCGTTACTTCCCTTCTTCACCGCTTCCCTTCGTCACCACTTCCCTTCTTCACCACTTCCCTTCCTCACCACTTCCCTTCGTCACCACTCCCCTTCATCATCACTTCCCTTCTTCACCGCTTCCCTTCGTCACCACTCCCCTTCATCATCACTTCCCTTCGTCACCACTCCCCTTCCTCACCACTCCCCTTCATCATCACTTCCCTTCTTCACCACTTCCCTTCCTCACCACTTTCCTTCTTCACCACTCCCCTTCATCACCACTTCCCTTCTTCACCACTGCCCTTCCTCACCACTTCCCTTCCTCACCACTTCCCTTCGTCACCACTTCCCTTCGTCACCACTTCCCTTCGTCACCACCCTGTGTCATAGCTTCTTATTCTTTTGTTGTGTATTGTTAGATAATGTATTGTTCTGTGATCTACCACCCTTCATCAGAGTCAATTGCATCAAGTAAAAGTCATTCGTAACTCGGAAGTATTGCTTCCCAACTTCCTTTGACTAATTCAAAAGTGTAAATTCAGACAAAAGAAAAGGTGAAGCCAGGCACAGCGGCATGCTGTTCAACCAAACGACAGTGGACAGGGTGAAAACCGAAAAATGGCCAGCTGTTTCACGTTACTTAGACGAATTACTAATTCAAAAGTGTCAATTCAGAGGTCAAGTCTTAGCTTGGAAAAGCTTTCCCCGAAGGGTTCATGCCACCTTGACGAATCCAGCATGAATCACACACTTGCTCAGAAACATCTTTGCGAATTCTGATGTGGAATGCATCTTACGTGCAAAAACACTCCAATTAAACCTGACAGGAGCCATTGAATGATCAGAAGTGAGAAACCTCAGGTTGAAGTTTGGTTGGCACTTGACAATGCAGTTAAACAACAATAGAAAACACAGTATGACGTGTCCCCCAGCTGCGACTTGAATGCGCCCAGGAGCGACACTGCAGGTACAGAAGTTTGCGTCCAAACTTCCATCCAGTTGATTTCCATATAGCTTCGTTGGCGTGACTAGGAAATCAACCGTCACGCCCCCTGCAATTGAAAAGGAGATTGGATAAACGCCTGGTAAAATACTCAAAACTGGTTCATTGTAATGGCAAAGAGCCTGATAAGAAAAAGCAATTCCGTCAATCAAGGTAGAAGTTTTACATCTCTTCAGATGTTCCACACACACACACCCACGCACACAAATCTTCAACACTTCTCACTACCTGTCAATAACAAAAATCTGTTGGCGGATAGCTTGCTCAACCAAGGAGAAGGGGAACCTTGGACGAATTCATTGCCGGATGTCCGGCCTTTGATTGGATAACCTTGTTTTGCATGCAGCGATAGTTGCGTTGCCAAGGACTAAACAATGGTGCAAATTTGACAACGACTACCACGAGTTTGTGGACATGCTGCGCTGGAATCCACAGTCTCTTGGCGCCCGTCTGAAGTAGGATCCCCCAAGTTCGGTCCAACAGTTTTGGACATTGCGGATTGATGCGGATTGGCTTTTTTAGCTGCAAGGGATGGGCACCATACTACAACCGGTGACATCGCAAGCGACCCCAAGTTCTATCCGGATGGTGCTGCGAAGGCTACGCTGGCCTCGTTGTTTGGGAAGGATTTACCTCGAGGTGGAACAATTACTGGGCAAACCCAAAGCAAGTAAATAAGCAAAAAAACACATGCATATAATATCATATGATCATAATATGATCATATCATAGTATATAAGTATATATGTATATGTGTACATATATCCGTATATACATATGTGTGTATGTATGAAGGATACTCTCTCTCTATTTTATATGTATATATATATATATAAATTTTAAAGCATAAATGCAAGCACGCACTTGCATAAAATGTGGGCAGCTGCTAAGATTTCCCGTGATGCCTGGGGCTAGCCTGCTTCAAATTGTCGGGATGTCGGATGCGCTCCAAGATTTGATCTCCTCCTGCTTCAGTAGTACAATTCCACAATTTCTTCACATGCGAAGCGAAGGCTTTCTTCACGGCTCACAACTGCAAAGACCCTTCCGCGACTGCAACTTGGCAATGCCACAGACGCTGGTTTTGGTAGGGGGTCTGCCATCTTGGCATGGAGACCAGTTCAGCCATATATTGTGAGGCCAAGATGCTGGATGTCCCTTGGATACAAGATGATTCTGATCCTTCAAGTCACGCCAAGTTGCTTTTGCCAGCGAACACAGGAAGCTGTCCTGAGAAATGTTGAGACTCAGGAAATCAAGAGCCGCTGGGAGGAGGGCCTGTACCCACCTTCCACGATCACGTTCAAAGGTCGGTTCTGGGCTTCTGGAAGCGAACTTCGCAAGGCATGACTTCTGCTGTTTGGGAGTCTGGAGTTTGATGCACTCCACAGTGCTTGGCCAAACAAAGGTTCGCAATACTGCCGGTGCATGTGGAGCAGAAACGATTATTCCGGTCTTTTTTGGGGGTGGGGCAGTCGTGGAAATCCTGACAATAGATACACACACACACACATATATATACACATATATTTATATTAATTTATAACTATAAATCACACACACACATATATATATATATCTAAACGTATATATATATATATGTATATATATATGTATATATATATGTATATATATATATGTATATATATATGTATATATATGTATATATGTATATATATATGTATATATATATGTATATATATGTATATATATATATATGTATATATATATATATTATAAACGTATATATATATATATATCCAAAAAATAGTGATCAGTCGGAGTCTTTTGTCTTTGGGGCATTCTTGCTTTTCTTTGCAGGAACATCCCGAGTTACCTTGCATCTTTTGAGTGAAGCAATGCCAATCTACTGGCAGAAAAAGTGTGCGAACACTTGCTTGCAGTCGTGCCTTTAGGAAGGAGCCCCAGTGCGGAAGCAAAAGCACACTTCTCCTCTACATGACATAGGTAGGATGGCCCACAGCTTTCCAACTCAGTGTTTCTCAGTCCTCAATATCAGGAGAGCTCATTGGCGAGCAGAGAGTGACGGACTCATCTGCTCAGCGATGTAATCACTGCAAGGTTTCGACAGCACTAGAAATGTATAGCGCAGCTTTTCTCTATTTCACGCCCCATTGGCCGTGTTACTCACGTCGAAGCACCAAGGAAATTGGCAAACCTTGTAGGGCCCTAGCGGCGATGAGATCCATGCTCGCTGTCGGCTCAAGGAAATCACAGGGGAACGAGCTAGCAAACGACTAGCTCCGAGCGCTATGCCAGATTCAGGCTTCCTGGCAGGGTTACGTTTGAAGCTGCTCGTTGTTTGAGCAAAATACTGTGAGCACACATTATGTGGAGAAAGGCTGAGAAAGGTACATTGGGAGCCCTGAATTGTCTCTAAGGCAATGGCCCTGCTATTATGCTTATCGCTGTGGTTGGCGCGGTGTGCGTAGCTGTTGCTGCATTGGGGCGCAAAGTTAAGAAAGAACGGGAAATGGCAACTTGGCATTGAGATCGTTTTGTACTTATGGAAGGTGGGATCCTTGGGGGGCGGCAAGAACTTTGTGTCAGCTGTTGGCTCCTAGGTAACCATCCAAGCAGAAAGAGCGGCAGAAAGAGAACGAAGGCGCCAAGAAGAGAGAGGAGGGGCTGGAGCAGGGGGAGGAAAAGGAGGAGGAAGACGAGGTGGAAGGAGATAGTGGCGCATGCGGTGAAGGCATCGCACGACGGAGTGTGTTTGATAGCACATGCCTCTTGCACAAAGCATTTGCAGAGAAAAGAAGAGTGAGAGGCGTGATCATGCAAGATAGATGGTCAAATTTCATTGTCCCTCATGACATGAACAATTTGGCCAGTTGATAGCCAGATTGCAGACTTTGAGTGTGACTGCTTCATCTTTGTGGCCCAAAGCCTTCGAAGGTTTAGTGTTGGCTGTGAAGGAAGGAGACCATTGGCCACACATGTTTGCATGATGCAGATGTTCAAAGGGATAAGGATAGAGCAAAGCATCAGAAGATCGAGGGCAAGCTAAGAATCACAACCAAACCCTTCAAATCAGCAAGCTACCCGCTGCAACCTGCGGTGGTTGTACGATTCCTCTTGTCCATCCGAAGCTCTACACCACGTCCACTGTTGAAGCGATAAACATTGAGGACCGACCCAGCCTCAACTAGTAGTGCAGGGGAGGACATGGTGACATGCTGCAGATATACTGTATCAACACGCACAAACACATACAGATACCTATAGGATCCTAAAGGGTTCTATGGGTGTCTATATATATATATATAAATTTATTTATACATACATCGACACACACACATACACACAAGCACACACACACATACATACATACATACATACATCCATGCAGACAGACCGACAGACAGACAGACAGGCATGCACGCATGCACACATGCACGCATGCACGCATGCACGCATGCACGCATGCACGCATTCATGCATGCGTGCATCCATCCATCCATCCATACATAGATACACGCATAGATACATTACATACATACGTACGTACATACATACATGCATGCATGCATGCATACATGCATACATACATACATACGTACATACGTACATATTCACATACGTACATACGTACATACGTACACACTTGCATACATACATAGGTACATAGGTACATAGGTACATAGGTACATACGTACATACGTACATACGTACATACGTAGATACGTAGATACGTAGATACGTACATACGTAGATACGTACATACGTACATACGTACATACGTACATACATACATACATGCATACACTACATACACTACATACACTACATACACTACATACACGACATACACGACATACACGACATACACGACATACACGACATACACGACATACACGACCTACACGACATACACGACATACACGACATACACGACATACACGACATACACTACATACACTACATACACTACATACACTACATACACTACATACACTACATACACTACATACACTACATACACTACATACACTACATACACTACATACACTACATACACTACATACATACACTACATACATACACTGCATACATACACTACATACATACACTACATACACTACATACATACACTACATACATACACTACATACATACACTACATACATACACTGCATACATACACTACATACATACACTACATACATACACTACTAATACACTACATACATACACTACATACATACACTGCATACATTTATTACATACATACACCACATACATACACTACATAGATACACTACATACATACACTACATACATACACTACATACATACATACACTACATGCATACATACACTACATACATACGCTACACTACACTACACTACCCTACCCTACACTACACTACACTACACTACACCTACACTATACCTACACTACACTACACTACACTACACTACATACATACATACACTACATACATACGCTACACTACACTAGACTACACTACACTACACTACGCTACGCTACGCTACGCCTACGCTACGCTACGCTACACTACACTACACTACACTACACTACACTACCATACATACATACATACATACATACATACATACATACATACATACATACATACATCACTACATACACTGCATACACTACATACACTACATACACTACATACACTACATACACTACATACATACACTACATACATACATACATACATACATACATACATACATACATACATACATAACATACACTACATACACTACACACACTACACACACTACACACAGTACACACACTACACACACTACATACACTACATACACTACATACACTACATACACTACATACACTACACACACTACATACACTACATACACTACATACACTACATACACTACATACACTACATACACTACATACACTACATACATACACTACATACATACACTACATAGATACACTACACACACAACACACACAACTTAACACACACAACATACACACACACACAGACATACACACAGACATACACACAGACATACGCACAGACATACACACAGACACACACACACAGACACACACACAGACACACAGACACACACACGCACACACTGGACTGGTTTTAAGAAGTGGAGCTGGTTCCAAATTCGCCGCAGTTCCTCGAAGACAAAGTCGAGGTTTCACCAGTAACAACCAACGCAGTCGAAGCATGATAACTGCCTGTGCAAATGTGAAAATTATTGAATCTATATGCATGGTTTAGTATGGGTTTGTGACCACCAGCTGCGATCACTGCGCCCAGGTGCATCACTGGCAGGTACGTTTGCACGACAAACTGGAAGGGTCTTTGTTGGCCCAAGCCTTCCAGAATGTCCTTGGGCCCCCGGCATATTTTGGTATGAACATGTGCAGTTAACCATGCCCTGTGCTAGAAGGGTGTACACACACACACACGCCCCACTAGGGGGCTAAGCTTGCTATGACACTTGTGAGCGCATGTTCTTTGTAGAATGGCACCAGCTACATCTTAGGAAACTGCTCAGAAACCTCCCTATAAACATGTAAGAGCCTGAGTTGCGGCTTTTCTCGTCGTTGTTAGCAAAATCACCCAAGCTCTTGCTTTCGATCTACCCAAGTTAAGCAGATACGCAATATTGTGCTGCAGTATCAGAACATTGTTGGACCAGCCCCTATAACCTGGGTCACGTGGTGACTCCTAAGTACGCGCATAGTGACAGGTGAGAAGGGGACAACAAAAGTTTTGTGCATTTCTCTCGACCTGTATCCTGGCGCAATCTGCGTCCCGTGCGCTCGTGACGCCACATGTCCCAGGCATGCATCTATGTATTAAATTGTTTGTTCTTCTAAACCTCTGAAATCCTGGTTTCTCCGGCTTTGCCCAATCCCCATCAGGCAAAATTCACGCGTGAGAACAATGCAATTAAAAGAAGACTGACATCCTGGTTTTTTTTGTCGGCTGTGCCCAGTGGCCATCAGACGATATTCACTGCCATCCTGGGTTTTTTAAGCTTTGCCCAGTCACCATCAGACGAAGTTGACGTGTCACAACATGTAAACACTAGACTGCCATCCTGGGTTTTTTCGGCTTTGCCCAGTGGCCATCAGACGAATTCTACGCATCAAAACATGCAAAAGTAGACTGACATCCTGGGTTTTTCGGCTTTGCCCAGTCGCCATCACACGAAGTTTGCGTGTCACAACATGTAAAACACCAGACTGACATCCTGGGTTTTTCGGCTTTCTCAGTCGCCATCAGACGAAGTCTACGCGTCAAAACATGTATATAAAAGTAGACTGACATCCTGGGTTTTTCGGCTTTGCCCAGTTCCAATCTGACAAGATTTACGCGTCAAAACATGCAAATGGCTTTGCGCACTCGCCATCAGACGAAGTTTAGGCGTCCCAGCATGTAAACACCTGACTGCCATGCTGGGTTTTTAAAGCTTTGCCCCTTGGCCATCAGACGATAATTCACGGGTTAGAAAAGGTAAACGTTCGACTGACATCCTGGGTTTTTCCGGCTTTGCCCAGTTGCCATCAGACGAAGTTTACGCGTCACAACATGTAAACACCAGACTGCCATCCTGGGTTTCTGGGCTTTGCCCAGTCGCCATCAGACGAAGTCTACGCGTCAGAACATGTAAACGTAGACTGACATCCTGGGTTTGTCTGGCCTTACCCAGTGGCCATAAGACGAAGCTTACGCGTCAATACATGTAAACGCTATGTAAACGCTATAGGCTGCCATCCTGGGTTTTTCCGGCTTTGCCCAGTCGCCATCAGACGAAGTTTACGGGTCAAAACATGTGAGCACGAGACTGACATCCTGGGTTTTTTCGGCTTTGCCCAGTGGCCATCAGACGGAATTAATTTACATGTCAAAACATGGAAACACTAGGATAACATTCTGGGTTTGTTGGCTTTGCCGAGTGGCCATCAGACTATATAAGTTGACATGGCGAAATATGCATATCAGACAGGGTTTGTGCTTCACACATGTTGATATTCTGCCATTTGGCTCCCGCTTTGCCCAGCTAAGAACCTTTCAAAATAAATTGTGTTGGTGATGTGTTTTGAGCCGGCTTGACTGATATTCTGCCACTTGGGATGCTGCTGTTGTTCGGCGTGTGCTTCGCTGCTATCGACGAACCACTACAATCTTGCGCAACAACGCAAACGTTTCATGGACAGAAACTCAAAGAGGACAAGTAATCAAGCTCCAAGTTACACTGCAATAAACCAAAACAATAGTTTCAAAAACACCCCACAAAAGGACAACACCTAAAAAAATCAAAGGGTGGGGAAAAACAAAACTTTGCATCAAGCAAACATAGCCGCGATCTGGGATTGCATGCATTAAAGCTGCAAGTGTTCTCCCGAGCTATTCTCCTTGTCTTTGACTATGCGTGGCATTGCCTGAAGTTGGAAGGCCCTTCTAGGGTGTTTTGCTTCTCAGCCCGCACGAGCGCTTGTTTGCATGCCTCCAGCTGCGTTGGCATTTCGAGCCTCAACCGGGTCACTGACCTGACCTGTTTGCACACTACCCCTGCAACACAGAGGTATGGAGTCCCCCGGACTATATAAGCCGGGGCGACATTAACACATTGGACTGATTTTAAGAAGTGGAGCTGGTTCCAAACTCGCCGCAGTTCCTCGAAGACCAAGTCGAGGTTTCACCAGTAACAGTCAACGCAGTCGAAGCATGATAGCTGCCTGTGCAAATCTGAAAATTAATGACTCTATATGCATGGTTTAGTATGGGTTTGTGACCACCAGCTGCGATCACTGCGCCCAGGTGCATCACTGGCAGGCACGTTTGCACGACAAACTGGAAGGGTCTTTGTTGGCCCAAGCCTTCCAGAATGTCCTTGGGCCCCCGGCATATTTTGGTATGAACATGTGCAGTTAACCATGCCCTGTGCTAGAAGGGTGTACACACACAGATATACATACATACATCCATGCATGCATGCATACATGCATACATACATACATGCATACATACAGGCAGACTGACTGACAGACAGACATACATACACACATACATACGTACATACATACATGCATGCATGCATACATACATACATACATACATACACACATACATAGATACATAGATACATAGATACATAGATACAAAGATACAAAGATACAAAGATGCATACATAGATAATAGATACATAGATGCATAGATGCAAAGATAGTAATATAGACAATATAGATACATACATACGTACGTACGTACATACATTACATTACATGACATGACATGACATTACATTACATTACGTTCTTTTACATTACATTCTTTTACATTACATCACATTACATACACACATACAGGCATACATACATACACACATACATACAGACATACAGACATACATACACACACACAGATACATACATACATACATACATACAGACACACACACGTACAGACATACAGGCAGACAGACATACACATACATACATACATACATGCATACATGCATACATGCATACATGCATACATGCATACATGCATACGTGCATACGTGCATACATGCACGCATACATACATACATACATACATACATACATACATACAGAGACATACAGAGACATACAGAGACATACAGAGACATACAGAAACATACAGAAACATACAGAGACATACAGAGACATACAGAGACATACAGAGACATACAGAGACATACAGAGACATACAGAGACATACAGAGACATACAGAGACATACAGAGACATACAGAGAAATACAGAGACATACAGAGACATACAGAGACATACAGAGAAATACAGAGACATACAGAGACATACAGAGACATACAGAGACATACAGAGACATACAGAGACATACAGAGACATACAGAGACATACAGAGACATACAGAGACATACAGAGACATACAGAGACATACAGAGACATACAGAGACATAGAGACATACAGACGCACATACAGAGACATACAGACACACATACACATACATACATACATACATACGTACGTACGTACGTACGTACGTACGTACATGCATCCATCCATCCATGCATGCATGCATACATACATACACACACATACATAGATAGATACATAGATAGATAGGCAGACAGATACAATTGTACCATACACATACACATACACATAGATACATCAATAAATCAATAAATAAACCGATAAATATTTGAGTATATAAGTAAATAAGTATAACTATAAATAAATAAATATAAATATAAATAAATATATATATATATATATATATATACACGGGTATTGTATGCATGCATTTGGCCACATACACATATACGCATATTCATGTAGTTAAACACACACACACATGCGCTGCCCATTTATATTTATACATGCATAATTATAGATTCTTGCCGCCAAGTTTGTCAGAGTGAATGGTACCGATGACGAAACGATTTGCACTTTGACATGAGCAGGACAGTGAAGATGAGGCAGTGACAATCCACAGCCGAAACCGGAAGCGGAAACAGGATGACACTGATGATACGAAGGAGACATTCGGAGACATGATAGTCAAGACATGGCCCAGTCAATGGCCGCAATGACTGCCAGTGATTCACCTGCAGACATCGATTTGTTTTTTAGATCCTCAGACGTGGTGAACTTGCCTTAAAGTGACACTCCAAAGTCAAAGTGATTATTCTTTCCGAGAGGTTGTTGATTTTATAAGGGCACATTGACATGACATGACATGACATGACAAGTCTTTGGTCAGGAGTCAAACTTCTCAACAGGCTCCACAGCGCAGCCAAATTTTGTCTCCGCACTTCCGGCGCTTCCCACTTCAAACTCGGCCGAAAGCTCAGCTCCTTCGCCAAAGGCGTCAAAGGCAGCGCCAAAGGTGCCAAAGGCTTGGCCGCTTCGCAGACTGCCAGAGCACCCTGTGACAGTCCGAGCCGGTGGAGGAACTGGTTCGGGAAGAACAGAGAGAGCGGTGTCAGACGCGGAGCTTAGCTCCTTAGCACCTGCACATGTCATTCGGAAAGCCTTACCCAGTCAGCTTGCCGAGGAGCTCCTGAAACAGTTACTACAGGAGTCAAAATCAGCCTGGCAATCCAGTTCTTGGGTCATTCACGGGAAAACTCAGACAACTCCGCGGACGAGTGCCATGTACAATTTGACCGACTCTGACACACCTCTCCAAAGGCCCGGCGAAGAAGAGTCACGCGCTACATGCGTACCATCAGCCTTGTTGAAGGAAGCTGCAGAACATATTCATGCAGCAGTCAAAAAGCATCGACCAGAGTCAACATGGTCACCTAACTTGGCCTTTGGCAACCGATATGATGATGGACGGGCATGTGTCGGTTGGCACTCAGATTTCTTGAACTCACTGGGCCCTCGTCCGATCATTGTTGGTTTGGCACTTGGAGCATGTCGGCGTTTCTGCCTACGGCGCGTAGTAGATAGCATGGTGGAATCCTCAGACTTCAGGGACCTGGTGACCTGATTAGGGACTTGAGGACACTTGACACGTGCATCCTGGGATTTGTAGCAGCCGCCAAGGTGGTGACAATCCCAATGCCGCACAACACAGTTGCATTCTTACATCCAAATTGAAAGAGAGAGAGGGTAAGGACAAACTTTTCGGAGTTCAATTTGGTTCTGGCTGACTCTAAGGTGGTAATCATGTGGGATGATTGCCAGGAAGAATGGGATCATTCTGTTCCACGACAAGCAGACTCGACCATACCAAAGCATTCTCTGGCAGGATGGGTTGCTTGGTTTGTTGTTCCAAGCACTTGTCCATAGAGAACAGTAAGTGAGACTATGTGGCAGGCTTGGTGCGCATCTCTTTGACTTTCCGAATGGCAAGGCCAGAAGTTGCCCAACATCTGAAGCTTTGCAACTGCGGCAGCTTTGTTTGCATCCACAGCGGGCAGGGTAGAGGTGAAATTGCTGGCAAATAGTTGGTGAATGATGGTGAATGCAGATGTTGCCCCAATATGCACCAATGCAACTCTTGTATTTGCTGCTATCTTGAAGGCTGAGTGCGCCCGGCTTCACGAATGGAGACTTACACTGTAGCAGGGACTGGAACGCCAGAGTGTAAGCATACAGATAGGGGTCCTTTTCTGCAAGTCACATCTCGTTTGGGATTCTGAGCGAGATGTGGCCCCACACACACACACAAGCCAAGCAAACTGGGCACCTCCGCTCCAGTGATCCAAGGCAAGCCTTGTGTGCTGAAAAGCAAGAGAGGCAGTTCGACACTAACAAGACCAAAAAGGGCAAACCAACAAGACTTGATGAGAACAGCAATCTTTGATCCCGCCACTTTCCTCGTCGATGTTTCTTTGTTGACAATTTGTCAACTTTGGTTTGGGACCTGTTGGGGTGTTCTGAAGCCGCCAGTGGTTTGACCTTGACAGGCCATTACTACTTGGCTTGTTCTCCAGTCGGGAGCCTTGTCTGCATCGCGAGCCAGCAAAGCAGGGCTTCCTGTCGTTCCTGTGTGCCATTCCCGGTGTTGTCAAAGCGATGCAAACCACGATATTGGTGGCATTTGATGGCCATACTGGCCATACTGCTCCACTGCCGCGCTCAAAATCCACTCTAAACCTATGTGGGCCGAACCTTGCGCATCAGAAGAGCAATGACATGTTGGGGCTAGGTGGCTAGGCGCCGCAACCACTATGATGTTTGGGCTCTCGGGATATTACTGCAGTGCTTTCCGAGCGACTCAAATCTCAGACCTCGGTTCAAAGTAGTTTGAATCGCAAAACTTCTTCTCCTTCATGACTGGGATGGGGGATTCGGTCAAAAATCCCGAAGGAAAAGTAAATCAAATTGCGAAATGAATTCTAGATTCTAGACAGTAGGTTTTTAGTCTTCATTATGTAGCGGGCCCCAACTAAACATGGCATTTCTGCAGCTTGGCGCTAGGTTCGCGTTGGCAGTGCGCTAGCATTTTTTGGTTTTAACATTCCCAGGAAACAGTTCTCTTGTAGATTCGGCTTGGCATTGGGAGGAAGTTTCCTCGTATTAGATCGTATTATATAGTATTGTGTGGAATTGGCATGGTATAGAGATGATGTGACAGTTTGCTGTTTGCCACCAGTATCCGGAATGCTTTGCATTGGTATGTACGTTTTGAGTTTCGCAGCGTTCAGTCATTGCATTTTTTATGAGAACCCCAGTACTTGTCACAAATATTTCCGAAAGTAGTGCAGTCATCCGCGCTAGCCTGGCGCTAGCGCCGCGCTAAATCCGCGCTAGCGAACATGTGGCAATACCAGCCCTGGCCCAGATGTCAAACATTTGTTGTGGCACTTCTTTAGGCTCGAAACATGAGCGGGGTTGACGTCAAATGGAAGTACCAAAGATTTCGGGAAGTACCAAAGAGTAGGGCTCGCATAGGTTAGGGAGGTACCAAAGAGATCCAAAGAGCTTTACAAGTAAAGCGTGCCAGAGGCACTCACCAAAGGCGATATCTGCAGGACATGGCACAACAATCAGACAGTAGCACGCCATCCTCCTCATCCGAGAATGGTTGAAAGTGCCGCGCCCTAGCGCCGTTCCGAACGAAATGCAAAAATGATTCTCGTCCCTTTGACTCCCTGTGATTTAGAAGACAGAGCAAGATACATGACGCAGAAGTAAAGTTATGTAGCGGGCCCCCAGCTTTGCACATTTCTGGGATGAAACCCATTTCAGCCTGTGAGCCCCCATCACGGTCGACTGGGTCGAAGTGGCCCTGCCTTCCACTCAAAAGCAAAGCTTCACCGCCATGGTCAGGTGAAGTGTGGCTTCAGGTTGTCTCAGTGCGCATGCTGCAAGTTGTCCTCTTCACATCTCCTCACATGTTAGCTGTTAGCTTCTAGAATCACTGCCACATAGTTTGATTTGCTTCTCATACCAAGGACATCATCACAGTTCCTCGTCAATTAGTATGTGTCGAGTTAACAGCATTGGCAGTGATGCATTCGAACCAGGGGGACGGTGGCAGTGTTAAGTTGCGAAGGCCAAGCTGTGTTTTTTTTGTCAAGGTGTGGTTTTTGGGAGCATTGCGCCTGGGCACAAGCAGAAGCTGAACGACTGAGAAGAGCTGGAGGTAATGCCAACACTTCAATGGACTGGAGTGCCGCCTGACTGCAAATTATTGATCAGACCTTGCAGGATGCTGATGGACCGCTTCCTTTTGATATCCTTGTATGATCTTTCGTGTTTTTCCCGAGAGCGTCTGAGCGCAGGGTTCTTCCAATAGTGGGGGTCTGTAAAACATCTTCTCATCTTCACATCTTCTCATCTTCACATCCTCTCATCTTCACATCCTCTCATCTTCACATCTTCTCATCTTCACATCTTCTCATCTTCACATCTTCTCATCTTCACATCTTCTCATCTTCACATCCTCTCATCCTCACATCCTCTCATCTTCACATCTTCTCATCTTCACATCTTCTCATCTTCACATCTTCGCATCTTCGCATCTTCACATCTTCACATCTTCTCATCTTCACATCTTCTCATCCTCCCATCTTCTCCTCATCTTGTCATCTTCACATCTTCTCACATCTTCTCACATCTTCACACATCTTCTCATCTTCACATCTTCCTCACATCTTCTCGACATCTTCTCACATCTTCTCACATCTTCACTCACATCTTCTCATCTTCTCACTCTTCGCACATCTTCTCACATCTTCTCACATCTTCTCACATCTTCTCACATCTTCTCACATCTTCTCACATCTTCTCATCTCACACCTTCTCCTCTTGCCCTCTTGCCCTCTTGCCCTCTTGCCCTCTCCTTCTTTTCTATTTCTTTCTTGAAGGCGGGAGCAGAGGCAGTGGCAACGAGACGGCACGAAACGCAACCTTTTCGCACGAAATGAGGTTCGATCGCCAAAAACTGAGGTAAAATTGCGATTTCAAGTCGTCCGGCGCAACCCTTTCGCACGAAATGAGGTTCGATCGTCAAAAACTGAGGTAAAATTGCGATTTCAACTTGTCCCGCGCAACCCTTCGGCACGAAATGAGGTCGATCGTCAAAAACGGAGGTTGTAAAATTCGATTTTCAAATGTCCCGCGGCAGCCAACCAACCCTTCGCACGATAATGAGGTTTTTCGATCGTCAAAAACGAGGGTGGTTAAAAGTGAGGATTTAGAGGTTTCCGGTGGACGTTTCGACGAAATGAGGTTTCGATCGCAAAAACTGAGGTTAAAATGCATTCCACTGGTCCCGGCGCAACCCTTTCGCCATCGAAATGAGGTTCGATCGCCAAAAACTGAGGTAAAATTGCGATTTCAACTTGTCCCGCGCAACCCTTTCGCACGAAATGATGTTCGATCGTCAAAAACTGAGGAAAAATTGCGATTTCAACTTGTCCCGCGCAACCCTTTCGCACGAAATGAGGTTCGATCATCAAAAACTGAGGTAAAATTGCGATTTCGTGTTTCCGGTGGACTGTTTCGCACGAAATGAGGTTCGATTGTCAAAAACTGAAGATTGCGATTTCAACTTGTCCCGCGCAACCCTTTCGCACGAAATGAGGTTCGATCGGCAAAAACTGAGGTAAAATTGCGATTTCAACTTGTCCCGCGCGACCCTTTCGCACGAAATGAGGTTCGATCGTCAAAAACTGAGGAAAAATTCCGATTTCAACTTGTCCCGCGCAACCCTTTCGCACGAAATGAGGTTCGATCGTCAAAAACTGAGGTACAATTGCGATTTCGTGTTTCCGGTGGACTGTTTCGCACGAAATGAGGTTCGATTGTCAAAAACTGAAGTAAAATTGCGATTTCAACTTGTCCCGCGCAACCCTTTCGCACGAAATGAGGTTCGATCGGCAAAAACTGAGGTAAAAGCGTCTGTGTGTACAAGTGATTGTGTGTAAAAGCGCTTGTGTGTAAAGCCGTCCGTGTGTAAAAGCGTCTGTGTGTAAAAGTGTTTCTGCGTAAAAGTGTTTGTGTGTAAAAGCTTCTGTGTGTACAAGCGTCTGCGTGTAAAAGCGTCTGTGTGTAAAAGTGTTTGTGTAAAATTGTTTGTGTGTAAAAGTGCCTGTGTGTAAAAGCGTCTATGTGTAAAAGCTTCTGTGTGTCAAAGCGTTTGTGTGTAAAAGCAGCTCCTGTGTGTAAAAAGGTCTGTGTGTAAAAGTGTCTGTGTGTAAACGTGTCTGTGTGTAACAGTGTCCGTGTAAAAGCGTCTGTGTGTAAAAACATCTGTGTGTAAAAGCGTCTGTATGTAAAAGCTTCTGTGGGTAAAAGCTTTGTGTGTAATAGCCTCTGTGTAAAAGCTTCTGTGTGTAAAAGCTTCCGTGTGTAAAAGCTTTTGTGTAAAAGCGTCTGTGTGTAAAAGTGTTTGCGATGCAAACTATTGTCTTGCACTTCTCACTATTTTGTCTTGCTACTCCTCTTCTCGACTGCCTATAACACATCTTTCATATATTGTTTGTAAAATTGTCTCTCCATACTAACAAGAGAAGACCCTGCTCCTCTACGCTCTCGGGCCATCCGTCGTCTAGTTCTTATCCGAGGTAGCCAGCTTGCCAGTCACAGCCTCATCATTCATTGAAATCCTTGACGACTGCTGCTTGCTTGCAAGATTCGCCTGGTTGTGTAGTTGTCCAGCTCCTGCACATGAAATTTTGGAATTTCGACACCGACCAGCACATCATATCAGATTGAGCTGGCTCCAGAGGAGAGCCCGAGGGTCATCAAGTGCCCTGCGCTCTGAGCTTTGAGGACCCAACTTCTTGGCACAAGGAAGTCGCATCATCCAATAGAGCAGACGGCCTCCGACTGAGTATCGGAAGAAATTCCGTTTGTGGCTCCATGTAGTGCGACTTCGACATCCAGCTATCAGCTGTTGTACCTACAGCTGTTCGTGACCGTTGTGCATCGCAAAAAAAGTCGCATTCCCTGATCCTGTGCCAAGCGCGCTCTGCCAGTTCACCTGGGCCTCTGCTTGCCTTGGATTTATTCTGCTGGCCTCTCGCAAACCAAGCTTGAGTACAAGCAATCTTGACCATGCAACACATGTTCCAATGGAAGTATACGAACCAGATTGCACATTAGGCACAATCAGGAGGTGAGGAATCACAAGTCATGAGCAAGGGATGTCAAAATCTCGCAACATAACATGTCGCCATGATTTGCCAATATAGATAATATAGAATCTAGCTAGCCGAATTCTCTTAAGCTGCCTTGCCGTTTGCCTGCTTGGATGGGACCAGATGAGCCCGCCTTCCATTTGCTGTTTCCACTGCGGAGACACCTTGGGGAAGCTGGGCCCCAAAATTTTCCACAGGCAGGGCGACAAGAAGAACTCAGCAAGCATAGGGTTCGAAGTTGCTCAAAGCTGTTCAGGATAAATTTGTTCCATAGTATACATCGAAATGTGGCGGATGTGCCTAGCTTTTCTCTCATGTTCACGAGGCGGGCGCTGCCAGGCAGGTCCAAGGCAGAGGCCTTGGACAACTGCCTTTGACATATCCTGGAAGATGAAATCGAGATACATTGAGCCAATTTTAAAGTGCCCTTGGTTGAGGTCGCCTCGCACACAACCGTATCCGCCGCATGGTCAATCTCCCAGTCGAGAGTGTTGAGATTGCAAGCAACCCGATTTGACCGGAGCTCTGACACATGGTGAAACACATCGGTACGGAGTCCACTCCTCACTACTTGTCACACAGATGTGCGATCTGTCCGCAATATGTACCCACCCTGAGTGGTAATTTCTCACTCTGAGGCTGTGGGTTGCTGCATCGGTGTATGGCGCTGGATCGCCAACGCGGTAAACCATGGAGCTGCCAGAGCGAAGGCCTTGGTACTTTGATGTGCTTTGGCTTGATACGACGCCATATGCACATGTGATTCATTGTGATTCGAAAGTTTACTTCCTGTGGATTCCTTCTGATTCCTTTGGGTAAACGGGTACACTTTATGTCATGCTCGCAAGGGCGACACTATCTTGTAACATCTTATATCACTGAACGCTGCCAAATGCTGTTGTATAGTTGTGCAGGCTGCTTTTGAGCCGTCGTTTAAGAGATTGGTGGTGGTGATTGCAGGCGAGGATCTTGTTTTGAGTCTAGCAGATCGCCTCAGATTGCAAATCACTGTACCTTATATTGCATACAATTGAATCCAAATACGATGTCATTGAAAGGTCCTACTGCCGTTGGGAAGTCGGATACCGCTGTGGAAGTGGCGAAGCAGTTGCAGCTTCAAGGTCGCAAGGCAAAGTCTTGAGAGTTGTGCGTATTTGTTCCCTTGATTGGACCTGCAAGATGCCCTACACGTCCATCAAAACTGTCATATCCGGTCCGACATTTGGAAGGTGCGACTTATCAGTGCTGACTCCGTTCAAGTTTATAGAGGCAAAGCCGGCAAAGCTGAAAGTGCCCTCACTGACCCCACCTGCCCCCATTTTGTTTGCGCAGGTCTTGACATTGGTTCTAACAAGCCTTCGAGAACGGAGCAGGACTGACTCCTTGAGCAAGGCAACTTGTGAATGGCAGTGGGTGTGGATGGAAAATTCTTGCATCAGTACCGTCGATCAGTGTCTTCGATTCTGCAGGAGGAATGGCCAATTCAGCTCATCGTTTCTTGGTGCATTTTTGCTGGACACTGGGTGAGGACAGACTGGCCTATACACAGTAGATTCAGTAGATGAATCGGACTCATATTGAGCTTGCTTTGTGTTTGTTTGTCTTGCCCTAACAGCTGGACTGGCTATGAGACTGGGAAGTCAAGTGCGCCAAGGATTGGATGGAGCCTGGAAGGCAAGTTGGTGCAGTTTGGCAGTTTGGGTTTATTTGTGTTTGTTTGGATCATTTTGGATTTATGTTTTTCACAGGCTGCAAGTCTTGCGCTTTTGTTGCCTAGGCCCTGCACAGCTGGAACATGGATGAAAGAAGCTATGCGCTATGGCCCCAGCTGCTGTGTTGGAAACATTTTGAAGACCAACACTGCATGCAACAAAATTGACAGTCAAAGTAACAGTTACATAACAACAAAATGATTGTCCATGTCCGAGGCCAAGTAGACGAAGCGCTGAGCCAGGAAGAGACTCCGATCGTAGTTGGTACCTGGTCAGAACAGAGGGTTTTGCGTGTGCACTGCATGCATTTCCTCTGGGCCATATGCACTCAACCACCTGTGAACCAAGGCGGTTCCTGCAACTTGGCATAGTGGTATTGCAAGAGCGGGCGCTCAGTGCGTTGGCAATGGAACTGCTCACAAGGTATGTATCTTGATTGGCTTGTGAACGGCGAGCCGGATGCACCAAAGTCGGCCGGAAGCTCATATGTCATAGGCACGGCTTTACTGAAATTGTTGGACACGTGGTCTCTGCTGCAAGGATCCAGCTGCTCAAGCACGCATTGCAGAACAACTCCAGCCTTTTCAGGACACGGTTTCACCAGTTTATACATGTTTATGCAGTAAATATACGTATATATATATATATAAATATATATATATATTTAGATATATATATATAGATATATATTGTTTTCTCATGTTGCTTTGCTTTCGTGCTCGTTTATCTCTAACTTTCACTTGTTCCCAGCGCTGCTTTGAACTTGTCGCCAGCCACAACATTCGTGGTGTCCCGCGGTTCTTGGTGGAGATTCCCATGTTGCAAATTTAGGTCCAAGCATCAAAATGTCAAAATGCTGTCGGAGGTTTTGAAAGGTCCAAATCAAAAACTTCCCGGTCAGGCTTCTGGGAAGGTCAGCGTGGGATTCAATACTCACGTCCATGACAGGGTCTTTGTGGTTTGCGAGCGTCAGCGTATTGAAAAACATATGTATTTTGCAGGTTGTGGCTGATGCAATGTTTGAGGCTTGAGGGGTGAAATACCAAGGCTTTGGCTCCACTGGTGGCACTGGATTGCGGGAAGCATTGCTTAAGTTAAAGTGGTCTGGCAGTTTGCAGGGCATGGAGCCGAAAAGCTCTGCAGGCTTCTCTAGCTGTTCCACACAAGACTGGAGGGGATATGTAGTGTGGGTTGGTTCTGGAGGTTGCAAGGGGAGGTTCCAGGAAATCTATGCAAATCTGAAGCCAAGCTCTTAAGATCTCTTTAACCTTTTCAGATTTTAATCTTTATAAAATAATATCAGTCTTCCTTTTCGTGTATGCAGTCTTGCTGGGACGTTTGTCACTTGAAGAGGCAGTTCCCTGGTGGCCAGCCAGTTTGTATCAAACTTTTCCCAAACACATGCAGAGGCAGTGATACTCTTTTTCTCTGGACAGTTTGTCGTGGACACCAGCAAGCTTCTTTATTGTCAAGGGTATGTTGTTCCATACCCGTTTTTGCGAGATCGAGAGTTTTGGTTTCAAGGTGCTGTGCTGTTTGTTGTTCTTTCATAGGTAGCCTTGTGGCGGCCTCCAAAAGTAGGATTTGCCAATGACCCTCAGGACTCAATGGATTGGGATGGTGCAATCGCGCTTCTGGCAGCTGTCGATGAAGAGAAGGCGCATCTCAGTGTGACAAAAGAAGCAGTTGCGTTGAGAAAGGGCATGCCTGATTCAGGCTGCGAAGATCAATCGGAACAACTGGATTCCGCCTTGGCTGCAGTAGACGGCACGAATCAACACGAAACAAATACCGGGCACTTCGTGCAGGATGGGAGGGGCTGGAACCACCGAGGCAAAGGCTTGCAAGGCAGCTGGAGGTGTCGTGCTGTCGTGCCACAGTGTTGCAAGGTGTTCCAAGCTGATTTTGAACTCATTCACCCACCCTTTGGTCAGAGAAAGCGCGACAATGCATTGGACTTTCCTGGTTTCCATCTGTGGCAACTGCAAGGAATGCAATCAATCAAGCACAATAAAAAATACGTGTATATAATATGTACAGATGTATATGCACACATAATTCTACACACGGTGTACGCCGTCATGTATAATATACAGTATATACATACCTCTCATAGATGAATATGTATTCATTAAAGATAATGTAGACACATGCGCATACATACATGTTATGTATAGGCCTCTGTATAGACAGTATGATGAATACTTTGTTCCGCCCTTCCTACCGCCATCCGAATTAACGTCCAGATTTTCGTTTTGTTTCGCTTGGGGTCTTCCTGTAGGTTGTGCGCAGTCCGCCTCGCAAAAGTGCACGAGGCTCCAGAGACTGTTGCTTGGCATTTGTATTTTGGCGCTGTGGTATGTTCTATCGAGACCCAGAGTCGGATGAAAGGAATATTTCAGCAACCTCCCCGGACCTTTTTAGGATAAAAACTGTGGTGGCCTTTCCCGTACACCAACCCAATATAACCCAATGATATATGTGTTGTTGCGTGCTCAGATGTTGGGCATTGGAATCTCCCCTCGTTGCTCTTGACAACTAAGGCTATGACATTCGTGCATTTTTCCTCAGCCCAGCTGACAGGCAAGCGCTTTTTCATCGAATCGACCCAGCCTTAGTCAACTATGTTGGCTTACTGCAAGTGCACACATCCCAAATCAAGCACCATCAGCACAAACATTATCCTCCCAATGCAGTGCTGCGGATTGCAGATGTGCCCCAAGACTGCGGCTAAGGACAGGCCACCCCATCTTGCCTTGTTGGCTTTGCCGTTCACATGTTGGTCATTGCATTTTGCTTCTGACATGACATGAGCGTGGGTCCAGATGCGTGTTTCTTGTTTGTTGGCCTATGGGATGCTTGCTGTGTTTCTTACGCGGAATTTACAGCAGGCGCTGTGTTGCAATGCTGCGGAATGGGCTGCTGGAGGAAGTTGCCGGAATCTCAATCTTCCTTCCGCCAACCCAATGGCACCGGCCACTTGCATAACTTGAGGCCTCACTTCTGGAGCAAGGTACTGCTACAAATTGGTTGCAAGCATATTCAGAGAGGGCTGTTGTGCTCATTCTTCGTGCCGGAGAGTCATGTATCCGCAACATCAGCTTGCATCCACCTAGCTTGCCCAGTCGTCAGGCAGTCTAAAAATCGACACGCCGGCAGCTGATGCTATTGGCAACGCAGCTCAACTTGTGGACGCTGTCGATGGACTGTCATGCATTACATTCAGTGCGGCTTAAATCATCTGAAAATCCACAGGCCAGCAGGCCAGCACACAAACCAGTGGACAAGCAAACAGCGTGAAAGAGAGAGAGAAAGAGAGAGAGAGAGAGAGAGAGGGGGGGACATTTGCCGAAAATGGCCGAACATGAATCACGGGCCTGTTGTAGTTTGCCCAAACCCTCCCTGGAATGTCTTAAAACCAAGCTGAAACTCTAAGCTCTAGAGCCCAGAGTGACAGAAGTGCACAGCGTTGGGAACAGGTTTGGCATCGTTTGGCAACATTCCACTTTCATGAATTTCAGGCTACCGTCAGGTCTTGGACTATTTGACAAGGTGGGGAATGCTCAGTTCGCAACCTCTTGTCTAGCTGTGTTTGTGCATCAAGGTTGTCTTGTTCTTGCCCGTGTGGATTTATGTATGTGAAGGCCTGAAGTTCGCAAAAGAGACAGAAATAGTTTTCTGACGTTTGTGAAGAGGCAGGGCTGCAAAACTTGTTCACAGCTCAAAGTGAGGTGTGCAGTTGAGTTATTTTCCCACTATCTATGCTGTCCATGCTTGACAACTGCAGGTTTGGTGCTGCTTCCAGGCGGGGCGCTCTAATTTGATGTCAGCCCAGGATCTAAATTCACGTGCTGGTTTCCCAGTTTCCTCTGCAGGAACTATGCCAAATCACAAATGCCACTTGGCGAGTTACGTAGATGTGGCATGCTGTTGCGACGAGATCGTTCAGTTGCAGTACTTGCATGTCAAAAATGTGCCACAGGGTCATCGTGGCTCTTTGGGTCGACCTGCCTGTATAGAGCCAGTGTCTTTTGTTGCCTTGGACATCCAAGGCAGTGGTTCATGAAGGACTCTTAGATGCACTTTGTTAGTCATGATGCTTGCACTGAATCATTTGGATAGTTTGCTCGTTTTTGGTCGGATCAATCCGAGGGGCGGGGGAGGGGGGGACCCCCCCCCCCCTCCTCACCAGGAGAAGATATGTGCTCGAATCCAAGGGGGGGGACCCCCCTCCCCCCCCCTCCTGCGATGCTCTAAAGGTGGGGGGAGGCCCCCCCCCTCCCCCCTCCTGCGATGCTGTAAAGGTGGGGGGAGGTCCCCCCTCCCCCCCTCCTGCTGCTTCATTGGTGCATCTCCTGCAATTTTTTGGGCACCAGCCGTGCACCGGGACCGAAGTCATGCGAGTTGGACGGTTCTGGACTTTGGTAGTAGTAGTAGTCGTAGTCGTAGTAGTAGTAGTAGTAGTCGTAGTCGTAGTGGTAGTGGTAGTCGTAGTCGTAGTAGTAGTAGTAGTAGTAGTAGGAGTATGAGTAGGAGTAGGAGTAGGAGTAGGAGTAGGAGTAGGAGTAGTAGTAGTAGTAGTACTAGTAGTAGCAGTAGCAGTAGCAGTAGCAGTAGCAGTAGCAGTAGCAGTAGCAGTAGCAGTAGCAGTAGCAGTAGCAGTAGTAGTAGTAAGTAGTACGAGTAGTAGTAGTAGCAGTAAGCAAGTAGCATAGCAGTAGCAGTAGCATAGTAGTAAAGTAGTCGTAAGGCAGCAGTAGTAGTAGTATAATAGTAGTAGTAGTGGTGGTGGTGGTGGTGGTGGTAGGACTAGTAGTAATAGTAGTAGGGTAGTACTAGTGTAGTAGTATAGTCGTACTATTACTCGTCCTAGTATAAGTAGCAGTAGCGTAGCAGTAGCCTAGCAGTAGTCAAGTAGCATTAAGCAGTTAGCAGTAGCAGTAGCAGTAGCCATAGTAGTAGTAATCCGTTTGTAGTTGTAGTTGTAGTAGTCGTAAGTACGTATTAGTAGTCGTAGTGGTAGTGGGTAGTCGAGTCGTATTAGTAGTAGTAGTAGTCGTAGTAGAGTAGTATTGTAGTAGGGTAGGAGTAGGAGTAGGGTACGATTAGTAGTAGTAGTAGGAGTAGGAGTAGGAGTAGGAGTAGGAGTAGGAGTAGGAGTAGGAGTAGGAGTAGGAGTAGGAGTAGGAGTAGGAGTAGTAGTAGTAGTAGTTGTAGTTGTAGTTGTAGTTGTAGTTGTAGTAGTAGTAGTAGTAGTAGGAGTAGGAGTAGGAGTAGGAGTAGGAGTAGGAGTAGGAGTAGGAGTAGGAGTAGGAGTAGAAGTAGTAGTAGTAGTAGTAGTAGAAGTAGAAGTAGAAGTAGTAGTAGTAGCAGCAAAAGGAATAGGAGTAGGTAGCAAGGGGCGCCGGTTACAAAATGAAAGCGGGTGGGGGGGTGGCGCAGCGCCTCCCCCCGCAATGCGTACCAAGAAAGAAGCGCATAGGAACCCAAATCATTGATGTTGATGGAAAAAGCAAAAGGAATAGGAGTAGGTAGCAAGGGGCGCCGTTACAACATGAAAGCGGGTGGGGGTGCAGGGGGAGGGCGCAGCGCCCTACCCCCTCATGCTTACTCAAGAAAGAACGCATATCACCCAAATCATTGATGTTGATGAAACAGCAAGAATAGGTAGGTAGCAATGGCGCCGGTTACGAACTAAAGCGGGTGGGGGGTTCACAGGGGGGAGGGCGCAGCGCCTCCCCCCGCAATGCTTACCAAGAAAGAAGTACGAAGAAAGAAGCACATAGGAACCCACATCGTTGATGCTGATGGAAAAAGCAAAAAGGGGTACCAAGGGGCGCCGGTTACGAAATAAAAGCGGGTGGGGGGGTGCTGCGCCCTCCCCCGCAATGCGGACGAAGAAAGAAGCGCAGAGGAACCCAAATCATTGATGCTGATGGAAAAAGCAAAAGGAATAGGAGTAGGTAGCAAGGGGCGCCGGTTACGAAACAAAAGCGGGTGGGGGGGTGCAGG